TATATACGAAGGCTTTCGAGTGAGTTGTTCGGCCTGGGAGTTTCAACGTAATAATTGCGAACCGGCTGCCTGGACTGTGTTTCGCGCAGTCGGTGTGAACAACCATTCCTAAGGGCCAGCACCTGCGCATTCTCAATACTCCCAATGGATCCAAATGACGACTCGCAGGCTACCCAACCAGGTCAGTTTCCGCATTGTTGTGTAGCCCATATCATTAGCAATAGTCTCTGATTCATTCATTTGTAGCTACTCAGAATGCCCTAGATCCTAGGAGGTTTGGGAAGCAGAACTCGGGCTTCTCAGACGACGATATATCCGATATAATATGTCTACTCTATCCTAATTCCGACAGCGCCAGCCGCGAAGTTCAGAGGATCGCGTCCTCGTCCGAATACGCCCATCATACTGCTGGGAGGTACACCGCCGATGCCATAGACTCAGACCTATACCTAGAAGACGATGCTCAGGACTTTGGACGAACCCGATGGATTGGCGACCACGCCCTCGTAATCAAATTGTCGTCGGTTCTCAAGGATCCACGTCTAGGATTTACCTTCGGTCGCAATCGAGCGCGGTGTGATCTTTGCTTTGACTACGACCCGAGCAGGAGGCTTAGCAATATTCATTTTCGCATATTTGCTAATAAGTATGGTACTGTCATGTTGGAAGACCAATCGACAAATGGCACTGTCGTAGATGGCAAATTGCTTCGAAAGCGGGCTGATCCCCAGAAGCCAAGTCAGAACAATCCGACTAAGAGGACTCTGGATAGTGGATCTACCATCAAGATTGTTATGCATGACACTTCCAAGGATCTTGTCTTCCTCGTGCGCATTCCCCGTCGCGATGGTGACCACGAAGTGGCATATAAAAGAAAACTCGGTGCCTATCTACGGAGAGCTCAGGGGCAGGATGATGATGCCAACAGGACTATCGTTCCCGGACCAAGTGGCCATGTAAGACAGCGTCCCCGAATGTTGAATCATATTACATACGTCGATACTGATTCCGAATAGGTTAACCTTTTTCCACCTCCGCGGAACAGAACCGGCGCCAAAGATGAGCCTTGGGAGACTACGCAAAGCCATCCGCGCCTGCCTCGTGAATGGCGCGGTGGTGAGAAGTATGCACGCGTAGGTGTGATCGGGAAGGGGGCTTTCGCTACTGTCCACAAGGTTACTTCAAAATATGACGGCTCGCCATATGCGGCGAAAGAGCTAGACAAGCGCAAGTTTATGAAGAATGGCGTCCTAGATCAGAAAGTCGAAAATGAGATGAAGATTATGCAAAAGGTTCACCACGTAAGTCCACTCTCTTCATCCAATCCGGGTTCCTCCGATCCAATCTAACCAAGAGCTAGGAAAATATCGTCCAATATATCGAGCATTTCGATTGGGATGCACACCAGTTCTTCATCATTATGGAATTTGTTCCAGGTGGTGATCTGGGCAAATATATTCTAGATCACGGCCCAATAGCAGAGCCTTATGTTAAAATTATGGCCGAACAGCTGCTTGATGCACTTGGGTATCTCCACGAAAATAAGATTACTCACCGCGACGTAAAGCCTGACAATATTTTAATACACTCGACGAGTCCCCTCGTGGTCAAGTTAACGGATTTTGGCTTGTCCAAAATGATTGATACCGAACAGACTTTCCTTAAGACCTTCTGTGGAACACTTCTATACTGCGCTCCTGAAGTGTACAGCGAATATTCATCTTATGATGATACTGGCAGGCGAACGCAGAGAAACAACCAGAGACAGGTCGATAGGGAGAGATACGACCATGCAGTAGACATATGGTCCCTCGGGGGTGTTTTATTCTATGCTCTCACCGGCAGTCCTCCTTTTCCTGTTAAGAACGGGGTCACATACACGGAGCTGCTCGACCATATCATTAAGATACCGCTTAACATCACTCCCTTATCACGGGCTGGTATAACTAGCAATGGTATTCATTTTCTACTAAGGATGATACATGTAAGACCAGAAACCAGGGCGACTATTCTGGAACTACAAAATCATCCATGGATTGTAGGGGAAACAAGCTCTGTCAGCGTGGCATCTGACGACAAGGACTTAGGACAGGCGGCCTCGCAGCTTAGTCTTGACGATAGGCAAACGGCTCAGTTTACCGACGACGCCTTTAGGGAACCGGAGCCTGATTTTTCCGTCGAATATGAATCAGAAAAGGAAAATTACACATTTGGACAAGAACGCCCGAATCGACTGTTTGGAGAAGTGAATAATTCGATATTGGGTAGTTCTGGTGCCATCGGAGAGGATCATCTAAATCTCCCAGTCTCAGACACAAATTTCAGAGAACCCGAGGCACTAGAGACCGAGATTCTCGATAGTTTCGAAGAATCCGAGAATCTTTCTACCCCGAGGCAAAAAGGTCGTATAAGTAACGGTGTCCTATCACCCAGCAGAGACCCATTGCGGAGTAACTCGGAAAGTATTGTACTAGGTGCACATTCCCAAAGTCTCGGTGGTGCCTCTTCGATTCTTGGAAACTTGAACGTGAAGTCACTAGCCAATGGTGACCCGAACCTCCGGTCAAGGACTACCGACTTAACTACGAGTAAAAGAAAACCCGGTTACGATACTAGCGACGAGTATGAGACGGCCGAGGCTTGGATAAAGCCATCATTTAAGAGACTCAAATCATTAGGCGATATTGATACTTCCGAGACCGAAGAAGATGAGCTGCGCTTGCTTGCTTGCGTCCCCCAGGTTGTGAAGAACGAATCGGGTCGCCAAATCGACTATCCACTACCTAAGACAACATTTTGGGATAGTTCAAACAAACACACATGGCATTTAGATTATCCTGAGATGACTCATCTCCAGTTCAACGCATTCGAGCTCGCTGCTCAGAAGAGAAATGAAGAGTTTGGTCCGAGGAAATCGCGCCTTTGGGACCTCGCAATGAGGCACTTCCCACCCACGCGCAACCGGAACCCTCCCAGGGATACAGGAAGGGTTCTAGTATTACGACCAGCTCTACTTAAGCGGGATAGTCGGTTTGCTGATGAGATGCATGGTTTGCCCATGCCCCACAAGGCTTCGACTCCCGTCGATGATGACTCTGAGTCGATTCCAGATACGTTACCACCAGAAACTCAAACCATACCACCAACGCAAGCCCCGGAGCTACCGCAAGCGGTTGCAGCCTTTTACTCAGCCGAAGGATCATTAGTGTCGGGAATATCGATCCGTCTAAACGACCCCGTGATGTCGTGGGGACGGGATCCTAACAACACGGTTGTTTACGAGCCAGTCGTTGAGTCCAAGGTTCCTAAGAATGCATTCAGAATCATGTTATGGAGAGACGGCTATGCTGCTTCTTTGGGCGATTTCCGTCCGTGGGATCCAGCTCGGCCAGTGAATAGCCGTACGATGCGAGCTTCGCCTGAACCGGATTCATTCGCATTTTATATATCAACCAAGGCGACAAATGGGATACGAATCAATAACATTCCTTTGCAGGCCAATGAGCCAAAGGATAGCACGGCCGCTTGTAAATACTGGATGAAGCTGTACCACAGGGACACTATAGTCTTCTGGGGATCCGACAACATTCACAGTCAGGCAAAAGTTACATTCGAATGCTACTGGGGAGGATCATCAGGGCTTAGACCGGCAAACGAGCCTCCGACGTGCGTGCCCGAGCTCCAGGCTCGCAAACTTGATCGTCTCTGGCCTAAAGCTGTGACTACGCTTCGCTATGATAGAATCAAGACCGAAGCACAGCGCGATCAGGAAATGAGGATGCAAAGCATGGACGAAGAAGTAGAGCGCAGCCGGGTTTTCGAACATAAACGTGCCCATGCGGTGAGGGTCCTTGCTTCGCGTGCTTCTCGCATGTCTTCACCGGCCAGCTCAACTCCCTCAACGGTGAGGGCGATGCCTCAAGTACTGCATACTATACCCTCCTCGTTAATACAGAGCAGTGGATATAACTAGCGTATATCCACCTCGGCGCCCTTACAATTATCTGCTGCATCTCACTAATGAAGGAATATACGCTCTCGACATAGCTGAATATGTCAGATACAAGAGGCTATACCCCAATGTCGTCTTCCGCACTTATAGAAGTCTAGCTTAAACTATAGTGCCAAGTTTATGCACCTTCAACGGGAAGGCCCCCTCTTAATTTGGAAATGGGAGAGTATTTATAGTATCATCGTCCGTGTAGGTATGATCCATATAGGTATGCGATGATGGGAAAGGACATAGAGGGACATGTACACGCATACTTTATATACCTTGGGGAGCTCATAAAGAGCTTATACGGCGCGGGACTCCTAGAAGGATGGTATGTGTTAAATTAGGTATATTTACATGGTCCAAGTCCCTCCGTTTGGGGAGTGCTGCTCGACGAATATCTTAATTAATTACAATTATTCATTAAGAAAGTTCTTACCAGCTTCAAGTTGACTTAGGTACTTAGTATAGCTGTGCAGTCTCGGGCTTCTCACTAGGTCAGGTACGTGTATGAAGGATATATGTATGTACCTAGGGTAAATACTTGCGGGTTTACTTGCGGGTTTCTATCCTTCTATCCGGAAATCGACACGTCAAAGTTACAGGCAGCCGCAAAGGAGAGACGGTGATGATAAGCACGGGTACCCTCAACCGTAGTTGCCGTAAAGGAAGTAGCGATAACGAAATAAACTTGCGGCAATACAAACTTAATCACATTTGTCTGCCTGAGATGAATAATTTAATTGCCCTTTGTTGCCGAGGAAACTTGAAGTGAAATACGTACCGGCAGCGAAACTCCTGCTTTTATCTCCAACCTTGTTGCCTCGGCCCCCGCTGTTATTTATTTACCTTTCTACACACGCACCACAACATGTCTGTTTGACGGCTATTACACCCTCCACCCGATTTCGACATACTTGCCAATCATTTTTTCTTTTTCTTTTTTTCTTGCACGGCGCCGTCTGCTTAGATGGATTTGTGCTGGTAATACGCTGATTGGGCTTTAATGCTACCTGCGCCTATGGCCTCGTTCAAGGTGTTTTCGCCGGGTGGGCGACGGCCTTCTGGGTAAGTATTTTGTTGTTTCCTACTCTAAACACAACCGCGCCTAGGTATTTCTGAGAGACGATCTTCGGGTTATCTGAACTAGTCAAGGACCGGTCTTGGAACATACTATCCCCCTATCACCTCGGCCTAACGCACAAACACTATTAATACTAAGCTTTTGCGTATAAATGCATTCTAACCTACTACTTCTTCACTCCACACCTATCACACATAACTCTTACTGACACGACAATAGGGGCGGCAGCTCTCAATCAGAGCAGTTAGGATCGCAACAAGGATACAACGACGTTGACAACGACGTCTGCCCGCCTGGATCCAGTGGCATCTATATCACCAAGACCAAGGGTGGAAAGCCTGCGTTGGCTCGCAAGAAGCATGACAAACTACCAGAGGACTTTGGAATTGACCTTTTTGGCCAAAACATCGGTAGCTCATCTCGTGCAGATGTAGAGAAGCGGGCTCGTCGCTGTAGGAGCTTCTACTCTCCAAACTCAGGCTTTACTTCACCTTCACCTCCGAGTCAGCCTCGCACGCCACAAACTTCATTCAATAACAACAACCAAGCTCGCGAATATGGAGCCTCTCCAGTTGGAACAGTGCGTAGAAGTAGACTTCGATCTGCTTCAGTCTCTACTCCCGAACGCATCTATCGTGTCGAAGAGAGCCCGCGCAATGGTAATACATACCACGACAAAGTATCTGGAGCAAGAGATGCAAACCAGATGCCTGTGAACTCTAGTCTTCCAACACAGCAAATCCCTATGGTATCTTCACTGCATACACCTGTTTCTCCACTATCGCCAACTTCATTTTGGAATATGAAAGCCAATGGTAATGGCACATTGACTATGGAGCCTGTCCAAGGTCCTTCGGCTGCTCTACCTACTAACCCTCGAGTATATGCTACCTCTACGCAACTACCTGACTACGGCGGCCTACGAAGTCTAGGACAGAGACAGTCTCCTGGTGCGGCACCAACCACCCAATATGCACAACCCCCGGTATACATGGCTCCTCAGTCTACGGCAGTGCATTCGTACTTTCAACCTCATCAGTATACCGCTCTGTATCCAGAACCTAAGTCTCCTGCTTTCCCAGTCCCCGGATCCATGCAGGTTCCCTTTCCTGCTTTTCCGCTTTCACCAGTAGCACCTACAACGCCCCCGGCAAACTTATCGCCTGGCGAGAGCAGCAAAGCAGCCTCAAGCAGCGCCAGCACTGCAAGATTCATCCCTAGCGAAGCTAAGGAGTTCGAGGAGCATTATAGTGCAACTATGAAATCTCAAGTACAAGAGGCAAGAAATGACGAAGGCAAGAAACAGAAGGGAGCAATAGCAATAGAGGAAATTAGCAAGTATATACAGCATGTCCATATTTGCGCAGCTTGTGGAAAGAAGCGGTCTAGGGGATATCAACGAGCACATCCGTTGAAGAGGGGCGAAATACCGACCCGAGACTATTGCCGCAAATGCCTCCACCGTGCTCTCAAGGATAACGATACTGCGGATCTTGATGCTCTTATGAGCAACGTAAGTCGGATATTTTACCCTGGGAGTAGTTGAAATACTGATGATGGCCTATAGAATACCCGTGAACCTCTACGTCACGCTAGCTACGAGACCGCTGGAACCATCCGCGAAGATAAGCCAATGGATGCAAAGACCTGGCGTAGCCGTAAGCTGAAGAGAAGACCGGCACGCCTTAATCTAACATCAATGATCCCATCCCAAAAGGCTAGTCGAGCAGATGATATGGAGCTGCCTTTGCCAGTATCCTCAGGAGAAGAGTCGGATTTCAGCGTCTCAGCGCCTATTCCTATCCCAAGTTCCAGGGAATATCGCCATCGAAACAAGCGTGTGGCATCATCCGATAAAGAAACCCGACACAAGGTTAATATCAATTCGTCTACTTCTAAACTTAAGACGTCTCGGGATCGTCGAGAGAGTTCCCCGGATGAGGATGGCAGATCTACTTTGAGGAATGCTGCTCATACTAAGAGTTACAACACGACGGCCAATCGCGAACCCAAGGGATCGGCGGAGACGACTTCAGGACTTGGCCAACATGAAGGTCCCGGTAGAATCTACGGCAGCGGCATTGAGGTCCCATCTCTAACTACCGCCTCGCCAAAGAGACGCACTAGAGTTCCACGACCGAATGTTCCCAAATCAGTTTCTGAGACTGTCCCCAAAGTCTCCGCAGGGGGCATTCCCACGTTATCGGAAGCTGCTTCCCTAGAGAGCGAGGCTCGTGATAAGGTGTATAAGAATATAGATGATGATTTCGAGCGTCTCAGCTTTCTCAAGGAAGTCCAGGAGTTCAAGAACAAATACTCTACCTTTGACGACAAAAGTCCTCGTGCTCAATGGCCAGCCCGCGAGGGTTATGATTCGGCTAAAGAAAATAGGCCTGTTTACGATAGAGGACCCAAGACCTATAACCATGGCCGAGAGAGGCCGAATTTAAGCGCGATGCCCGACTTTGAGCAACCCGCTGGAGGATCAGGACTTGGTTGGCATGGATATTCCAGTCGCGAACGAATCGACCGCTATCAAGATAAACCCGAAGCACGCCAAGAGTTCCAAGGACATGTAGGCCGTACAACGGAAGCCGAGCCAGACACGCCAGATACTCCCACATGGCCGTCGACACCGACTTCGACGGATTTACCGTATGACAACACGGCCTCTATCCCAGTTTTCACGGACGATTACTGGGGAGGGGGCGAGGAAGATGAGGACTGGGCTGAAAATAGTGCGCGAAACTTGGCCGAGGAAGAACTGGCATCTGCCGGTAAACTCTTTGACGACTTGACGGGTGGTAACTGGGGTAAATCTCGTACCTCCTCCTTTTTTATTCCCACCTTTGTGACTCGCACTGAGATCTCCGTAGAGTCTCTTCGTTCCAGCGAAGAGCAGAATTGCGCCACTGCCGATACTTCGACCGTTACTTACCAACTAGCTGAGACTTCGGAGACGGGCGAGGATGTCGACCAAAATGGGTCTGCGAAAACATTCCGTAAGCTTATGACAAAATGATGTTGACTTCCCGTGAACTAGAATGAATAACTAACCCTATGCGCAGGAACCTTCAAGCAGAACAATGGAGGTGGTTCCCGCAACTGGATGCCACCGTCGTACCATGATACCTGGCAACGATCCGATCGATCCGGTCGACGTGATACTCCAAGAGAACGACACAAGAATACTATGTACCACTTCGATGAGAGAGAATCTGGCAGCTCATTCGACCCGATGCCCCCGGACCCTACATCCTCCATGGCCGGCCATACAGGACACTCGACGGAGAATATGCCGCCCAGCATGTTTGACTACAACCAGTCTACCACTAGCGGAGGATGGCATAATCACCTCTCTTCGCGACACTAAAAGAAACTTTGGACTTTACTGTCACTGTTATGAAACTAATCAGCAATCAACCCACTGTTGCCCCGTTTGCACTCGCACACTTGCACACTCGCACATCAACAATTGATGGCCAACTAATACACTTGTTCTGTTCGGATATTATGCCTATGCTGGCAAAGACGAAGATTCGATCGTAATATCACCACCTGTCGATAGCATCTGACCTGACCTGACCACACACACACACACACACACACCTATGCGTGTTCCTGTTATGTTGGATGGACTTTGGCGGTCTTATGAGTTGGAACGAAGGAATTGGACAGACAGAATGACACTTTTGCAACTATTGGAGATCGCTTTTGCTCTTTGTTTGAAGGATGTAGAAAATTGTACTTGTACCCCCATAATGACGTTTGTAGGAAGCATGGAAATTCAGTTTCAGTTTGCAGATAACTAACTAGCACAGTTAGATACGTCGTTGTTTTTTTGGACCCAATTGCATGTATGTTAGTTAATCACTGTCGTTACTGTCGAGTTCGATGCGCTTTACACAATAAGAAAAGAGATAGTTAATCCAACCAATATCTCGTAATTAGGAGGATCGAACGTTTCCCATCCTTTTAAAGGATCACAACCTATAATCCTAGGCTATATACTATGCATACGCCTGTCTATCTATCTGGGCTTGGTAATTAACGCAAGCACAGTGACATTTCGATTTGATCCTCTTGCATCCCGGAATTGTAAAAATGAATAATAAATAAAGATAAAGTTGACAAAAATGTTAAAAAGAATTGCCCACTACTGGAGTCGAACCAGTCATCTCCTCATAGCTTCCTTAGTAGTACTTGGACAGTACTAGTGAGGCGCATTACCGCTGTGCCAAGCGGGCGATGACGATTGACATGGAACACACCTTTATATACATAACGTATTCGTCGGTAAAATCAAATCCACTCTATTTCCAATACATACAACTAAGTCAACATATTTCGCAGCACCAACTTTTGCCGTAAGTATCTTCAATTAATCGCGTATATTTGTATTTGCCGCCATCTACTCGTATTCTCTACGCTTACTATAGTTTAGATTTTGGATCTCTTCGAGCTTCGGGAGGGCGACGAATTACTTGCAACTTCCCCTAAGCTAAATATAGAGGTGGTATTATCGCACTATGCAGACATTCTCATTAAGCTATCATTTCATTTACTTCATGCTCGGCTTCACATCTTACAAGGCATATGACACATGGCACAGGTTTAGATAATTTGGGAATATACGTTTTTTTCCTGCCTCATGTTCAATACCTGTACAATGGCTAAGCCTTCCATGGCTGCATTCCCAGCTTTGCCGGTAAGTGTATGAATATGACCCAGGATAGGCTGCCTGCCCATCATTTTATCTTTTCTCCCCACCCCATCAACACTTCGTATCCTTACTTCGTAATTCCTTTTCATTAGTCAACCCTCAGAACTCTAGGTCCCCGCTTCTTAGTTGCCTTCTTCTTTTTGTGCCCCCTCTCAAAGGAAGCGGCAGCCGCATGATCTCGGCCTACATTGTCGAGATCTTTTACCTTATAGATTCTAATGATCCAGTTTTCGCTAGTGTAAGCCTCCTCTAGCGTGTTGAGGACTGGGCCCTTGTCGGGAAGTCGAGCACCTCGGACACGATCTTGGGCCTGTCCGGGTGGGAAGAGAGAGCCGTAGTTGTAGTACGACATCTTGTACCTTGATTTGAGGGATTGTGTTAGTAAGAGGCGTCTCTTGACCAAGGCATAAATAGGGGGAAAGCTTACATCAAACTGTTCTTCATGGTCTCTGAAGCCTGGTCATCAACCCTGTACTCGCCCCGAGCAGTGAAGAAATCGCGCTCCTTGACTTCATCAGGCCAGATACCTTCGGCGATCCTTACCATCCAGAGGAACTTGTTGATATCGTCGCCAGAATAGCCGAGGAGACCGCCGAAAACGACAAGGACGTAATCAACTTCGTGCTGGCGCATGATCGGGTAGCTTACTTCCTCTCGCGAGCTCATGGCTTTACCGACAGTAGCGATATGGGTGTTGTTCCACGTATTGTTGTCAACCAAGGTGGGTCGGTCAGCCATGCCACCGATTTGATAACCATAATCCCACCAGGACATGATCTTGGCGTCCTCTTTAGTGTTTTGTCGAAGCCATTGATAAGCTTCACGATAGTCGTCGATGATATGCTGGCTTCCATCTGGCATCCTGCTTGCCAGGACAACAGAGGGCGACGAATAAGCGTTTGAAGTTACCCAAGTACAATGTTGTACGAAGAGGAGTAGGTATAATGTCATGCATCCAGCTATGAAGCCCTTCGACAAGAAGTTGTAAATACCTACTACGGGCTGTGATGCGGTACGGAGTACTCCGTGCTTTAACGCCTTCTTCGAATCGGCGCTCTCATCCTCCTTGTTGTCTGCAGGTATCGGTGATCTGGCGACCAAGTACGTGTCGAGAACTTGGGAAACCGCAATGGCAGCGGCCACACATACGACAGGGGTAAGAGTGAGCATCAGTCGCACCATGACGCCGGCGAAGTAGCTGCCAAACAAGGCGTACACAATGATGAAGACATGCTCATCTTCTAGTCTCTGGAAGCACAGGTAGACACCAGCTGGGAAAAGCCAGATCAAGAAGTTCAGGTCGAAGAAGAAGGCTGGCCAGGCAGTTGGCTGATGCTCGGACACGGACGCGATAATTGGAATATGAATCTTAGCGTATCCTGTATCCCATAGAGAATAAAATCGACCGGACCAGGGCGCGATGTATCCAAGGGTCGTGAGACCAACCAGACCGAGAACTGAAATTCCGAAGACACCGCCTAAACCGACATAGAGGAACGTTTGGAATTGCCGGCTTGGGACGGCTGACCGTACGTACTCGAGGAAAGCGACAAGTTGGAGGAATCCGAAGATACCCAGAGCCGGCATATGTTCGCTGGTACGGACCGGCAGGAAGCCGACGAACGGGATCTGCATGCTAGCCAGAGTACCAAGAGCATACCACGTGGTATACGAGACGTAGAGGCGCATGCTAAACCTGCCCATGCACACAAGCACGAAAGCATGCAGAGGTACCAAGCATGTGATAAAGGCGTATCCACCCCACGAGGCTACCATGTAACCGTAAAAGAGAGCGCAGAGGGCACCCCATAGTACGGAACCCAACTTCAATGCCTTGATCCAGAGATAAAAGGTGAAAACAAGGAGGAAGATGGCAATAGCCTCGTTATCGTAGGAACCAGCCACAGATCTCGAGATGTAACCTGGGGCAATACCCATGAAAGCTGCAGCAAGAAGACCAGCAGATGGGGAGGTGGTCATCTCATTGGTAAGGAGGTAGGAAGCGAAAGCAGTAAGGCCGGAGAAGGCTGGCGCAAGAAGCACACAGATATTTCTGATGTCAACGGGAACGGCCAAAGCTCGTAGGAGATGGTAGATAACGCCGCTTGTGACCATCAACCCAGGATAGAGGGTACCTCCGGTAACTCGGCCAAGAGGATGCCACGTTCGGTCGTCGAACCAATCCCAGAAGTCGTAGAATCCATTGGCAACGAGGTACTTGGTTGCTCGGAAGTTGAACCACGGGTCGACTATATATATAGCAATCAGCAATCAGCAATCAAGTTAGAGGCTGTACCTAAGTGATATATATATATATATTGCTATTATTTGTACGGAATAGTGGGATAGTGGGGATAATAACTAACACTCATGGATAATACTCTCGAAGCCTATAAAGAATAATAGTCAGTAGGTAGCTTTCGACGTAATAGAGAGAGAAGAGAGGAAGCATACGAATAACTGAGAACAGTCGACTTGCGACTGCAGCGCCGGCAATAAAGCAGAGAATAATAACCCTTAACAAGGTTTTGGTATTCTGGTTCTTGCCCACGCTGACGAGTAAGTCGACAGGCGTAGAGCTGGTGCCAGTTGCGACAGCCATTGTGGGTGAGTGCTGCCTCGAGACAATGCAACTAGGTGGTAGACGGTGTCAACATTTGAGAAAGATGTAGTATGTGAAGGAAGAGGGTGTGTTGAATTGGGAAGTGAAATTCGTAGTTCAGTGATGAGAGGACAGCTGGAGCTTTCATAAAATCCAATCCATCCGCGCGTCGCAGTTGCAGAAAGAGCTCCACGTCTGCAGGGGTCTTAATTCAATCTACATAGTAACTACATGTATTCTGTAATTATGTAATCATCGGGTATGCGCATTATGCTACATACTATGTACCTAGGTACTTGTATGTCCATCATGTATGTAAGTAGGTACCTACATGTATATAAGCATTCACACCAACGTGATGGGCTCTCGTCTTAAATCTTGTTAAATATTTCAAGACATTGTTTATACAATATTAGGCATAACTATACATCATACAAACTAAGAGCTCTGTCTTTCGTATCATAGCTAGATCAATAGTAATTGAGAGTGTCCATCTGTCAGAATGCTATCCACCTACTCAATACTCAATATTGCCTCAGCATTTTACTAGAGGCTTTTCATATAGATTTCATATGGCTGTAAATGGACTGAAATATTGGCAGATTCTGTCTGAGCAAAACCCTAGTCCTCGCCTGCTTGGTAAATTGGATGCAACACGTAAGGATAGGAAGTGATAGTAAATAATATAAAATTCACTCAAAGAAATTGAACCCAGCCGCCAAGGGCCGTACCATAAACGTCATGCAAGATCCGGCCATCCCAGTGCCAAATGGGTCTAAGTTAGCATAAGTTTTGGTATTGTACACATGTACAGCGTGAAACCCGAGGAAATCTATGAGGTGGTTGTTTTTGGGAACCATATCGCAATCATACACAGAGCCTGCAAAGTCGCCGGTAGAGGAAGCAGCTTCGATCCAACCCCGGCCGCACCGAGTTCACCTCCAGCCCTCTCTCCCGTCTCTGCCCCTAGTCTCTATTGCATTTCCACGCGCATCGGGCCTGGTATTAGTATTATTACATCCCTACGGATTTTGTGCCGCGAGGGCGTTGAGGTAGGCTTCCAGGTCGAAGTTGGGGTCCATCGGGTCTTGATTCACTAATAGTACCGTTAGCATCTTATTGGACTCGCATGTAACCATGGAAAAACGTACAGGGACTCTTCTCAGACGCCGCAGGAGCTGGGTTTTTGGACTTCGCATATTCGGCCCTCGCCTTCTCTATTAACTGCTGCTTGTGTTCGTACTCTTTCTTTGCCGCGGCGGCCCTTTGCGATGCGTTGATACTTCTCTGGTGCGTGAAACCGTAGAAAACACCTAGAGCAAGAGCCGAGTACCGGAGCACCTATATAAAATGCTGTCAGTTATGGCCTCGTAGTATATCTCGGGCATACGGCGAAACCAGCGGCACACGTACGTTGGCTCCCGAAGTGGTAGACATTGGGCCGGTATGTGCTAAGAGACGGAACGAGCGATCAATCAGCGGTGCAAGGGACGGCGATGGGATGCCAATTGGCCCTGTTCCACGAGGGGAGGAATTGTCGAGGGTCGAGGGTTGCGGTTCGAGGTGGGAGGTGGAATGGTGAGAGGCTTGTTACGGAAGTCTGGACGGCGTCGGGAAATTTCGCATATTGTACTTAATTTTTTTACAAACCAGCAGAAGCCACTGCTAGAGAATGTCGATACATGTGGTGGTACGAGCCGAGCTAAATAAGTGGGGGTAAAACAAATACATCAAGACTAATATGAACCAATAGAAAGACAGAACTGTAGGTAACTGCCCAAGTAACATCATTTTTTGAGACCTTTGCAGGCTGTTAGCTAGCTAGGTGGACGCACGGATGCTACCGGCGTCGCGATGTCCCGACAAAGAAACGCGCATTCATTTAAGGTACAGCTGATTAAGGATTAAGGTAGACGTAGCGCCCGTTAGAATTTCAGTAACAGTTGCGATCCCCTTAAACTTTAAGCTTTAACATCCACTAAAGAAAATACGGAATACAATACAACCATTCAAGTCCCTCGTACATAATACAGGATACAGACAGGTCTCTACATAATACAACAACTACCTAGGTAATACAATAAACCGACAAACCGACAAATCCTCGACCACCTAGCTTTAATCCAGATCCGTTTTCCCTATAAGCCAGAGACCACACCCCGGCATGGGTCTCGGTGGAGTACAAGATGCAACAACGACGAGATGAGATTCTAGCAAAGAAGGCGAAACTCGCCGAACTCAAAAGACAACGAGAATTAAGAGCTAGTCAGGCGGCCTCTGTTGCTAGACCTAGCATAGGCGGCGGACCTAGCGATGTCGGTTTATCCCGCCCGTTATACTTCAACCTCTTCCCACTAACTCGCATCATAGCTCATCTCCCCCACTCCGGGTCGCGACAATCGCAAGGTCATCGAGTCCTTAATTAACAGTCTAGTGGGCGAAAGTCGACCTGCATCCTCCACGACGGGCGTGGCATCCCCCGGTCTACGAGGAAGTCGACCCAATAGCGTCCTCAGTGCCGACGACTTGAGCGGTGAGCACTCACACTCAGAATATGCTTCCCAGGTAAACGGCCATCCTGCCTCAACCCAGCCGCAGGTCTTAACAACGGTACCCCTCCAAACCGTATTCGAGTGCCCGCCATCTCCCGTTAAGGAGATATTCTCCTACAGCAAAGGCGTGCAAACTACAGGCGACTGGACGCCCCCGGCCACCAGGCCTCGAGCCTTTTCAGATCTCGAGGATGAGGACCTTCCTGTCACATCCACTCCCAACAAGCGGCTGAGCAGGTGGAAACGCGAGAGAGAAGAGGAACTACGTCAGAATTTACGGTTAGAAATCGAGGAGGAATTGAAGGCTGCCCGGGAGTTGATTACCGATGGACCCTTACAGACCAATTCTGTTGTCACTTCGAATTTCCCGGCTAGGGCATTAAATAACGAGGAGTTAGCAGCTGTTGTAGCATCTGACGACTTTGTTGATTTTGTGGAACGTTCAACGAAAGTTATCGAGCGAGCACTTGATATTAGCAATGAGTATGATATCTTGACGGATTATTCGCTTCAAGCCCACGACATTGAGGACGAGGATGAGCAGGTGGGTAACACGGGCGGAAAGGGACGCCGGAGAGTTAAGGAGGTTGTGCAATTTTACGATGAGCGGTGGTCCAAGAAGCGTATGATTAGCAGCATTGACTTCTCGCCAAAGTTCCCTGAGCTGCTGCTGGCATCTTACACTAAAAATCCGTCCGCTCCCCACGACCCCGATGGCGTTGTACAAGTGTGGAATCAACATCTCCACGACCGACCCGAATTCCTCTTCCATGCCCAGTCTGATATTCTCACGGCAAAATTCTCTCCTTTCCACCCCAACTTAATCATAGGCGGTACGTATTCCGGGCAGGTCCTCCTATGGGATACCCGGTCCAAATCTGCCCCTGTACAAAAAACACCCTTGACAGGCTCGGGCCATACGCACCCGGTCTATTCCGTCGATATCGTCGGTACACAAAATGCGAACAACGTCATTTCAGTTTCTACCGACGGCGCTTTCTGCGTGTGGAGCGTCGATATGCTTTCACAGCCGCAAGAATCACTTACTCTCACAACACCACCTCCCAACAAGTTCGAAGATCTTGCACCAACCACAATGGCTTTTCCCCAAGCAGATCCAACATACTTCCTCGTGGGCTCGGAAGAAGGCCCTATATATCCATGCCACCGATACGACCGTGCCGGTGCTAAGGCGGGCGTCGATTCTCGCGTTTGCTACAAGGGTCACGCAGCTCCCGTCATGAGTGTCGACTTCCACCCAGCTCGCGGCCCTGTAGACCTAGGCGATCTGGTTCTCTCTTCCTCCCTCGACTGGTCTGTCAAGCTCTGGAAAGTCCGCGCCCCCGCCGCAACAAGTACCATTGTCGAGAGTGCTGGCACCGCCGTGCCCCCGCTCCTAGACTTCGTGCGCGAGGACGTCGTCTACGATGCTGCCTGGTCCCCCGTGCGCCCTGGCGTCTTCGCCCTCGTCGACGGCGCCGGCTCCCTGGAGCTCTGGGATATCACCGTCGAGACAGAGATCCCGGTCGCCAAGATCAGCCCTACCCCTCGAAAGGACGGGCGACAGTTACTCAGTAAGAGTCTGAACAAGATCGCTTGGGAGACTAGTGAGGGGAAGAAGCTGGCGACTGGTGGTATTGATGCTGTCGTCAGCGTGTTTGAAGTCGGTCCTGATCTGGGTGGTAAGGAGGCGGTGAGGAGCGAGGAGTGGACTAATGTCAAGAAACTCGTCGCGAGACTCGAGGCCGTTAGCGGAGGGGTTGCTGGCTTCGTGTAAGTGCTCGTGTTTGGGGTTTCTATTACTATTATTACTACTACCCTTGTTTGATTGTTGGGAGGGAGCGGTTCTGGCTGTGGCCCTCGTGTCAGGAGGAGTAACGTGGGCTGGCTACCGTGCATGTGTCCGTATTATACCCAGCCCGAAAAATGGCATTTGTCGAACGATGAGATGACATGGTGAGGCGTGGTGCGGCGTGGTGGTGTCTGGCCTATAACCTAGCTAGAAAAACTAGGATACTTAGATACTACTACTTCTTGAGTAGCATATAAGCCTACAATTAATTGACCTTGCGACGGGATAAAATATATGTTATGTGTGGTGCTTAGGCAACCTCATTATACCTCAGAAATGCATATTTCTTATAGTAAAACATTTCCGCATCCAATACGACCTACAAACTCGAACATACAAAGCCCCGATCTCGTAACTTATTCTTATCATTGATCGTGATCGTAGCTATTACCTGCCGATGCGTGATTCCTATTCAATATCATCCACAGCCCAGACACCCGCGCCCTTCTTCTGGAGGCTACCCCTAAGTTTCCCGAGCACAGCCGTCCTGCGCTCCCGCTTTTCCTTCACAGCCTTCTTCTCCGCGTCTCCAAAGCCGCTCAGCTTCTTGCGCGGCGGAGTGTTAAACATACCTCCGCCGATGCTCCCTGATACAGAGTGACGGAACACGCTGCCACGCTGTGGTGTGCTCTCCCGCATTGAGCGTTCTGGAGAGAATACTGACGCGGATAGTTTCTTAGCGTTTGGTGTGGCAAAAGGCGAACCCTCGCGGCTGTTTGGACCGTGTGAGCTGACACCTAGCTTCCGCATCTGATTCTCGAGGACGTCGATATCGCCGCTACGCTTCTCGACCATGGTGGTCAGCTTAGTAATGGTGCGCACAACCGCTTCGATAGTCGGTGTTGGACCACCCTTCCCATTGGCGCTGTTGGCAGAAACGATCTTAGCCTTGAGCAGAGTTAAGTTTTCCTCTGCCTCCGTTAATAGCTTTGTAAACTTTGCGTATTCTCGTCGTAAATCACTCTGTTGCGCCGCCTGCTCGGCACTAAGAGGTAAACTACGATTTGCAATAGTCTGTTCTGGATCAACATGCGAGCTAATAATTTTCTTGAGATCCGCTTGCTTGTTACGATCGCGAGTAAGCTCACGTTGGATATCTTCGCATTCTGCAAGCTTCCCTGCCACGTCTCTCACTCTCGCTCCCTCGAGAGCATTGGTGAGATCATCGTCGATGATGTGAGCTAAGCTCTCAAGTCCGTTTAGGGTCCAGTCATCCGGGACAGCCAAGTCATGTCTTGTATACTCCTTGACATAGAGCTCTTTGTGCCCCTTAATGAAGTTCGCGAGAGATCGTGCGTTAAGACCAAGAGTATCAATCATTGAGTTGATGTCTCGATATACAGCCTCGACTTGCGAAGGCACACTATCACCTGCTGGTGGTACTGTACCCGGATGTGCGATAAATTCGTCAAGCTCAAACGTTGGCTTCGGTTCTGCTTTCAGTAGATTTTGAACAGCATCATCCTCTTCGTCAAGAAGCAACTGTTTTTCCTCGGCTTCTTTTTTCGCCTTTGCTTTCCGTTGCTTCTCAATCATATCTTCAAGATAGGCGGCGTTGGAAACTGAGGGACCGACTTGGGATTGCTGTCGTCTAGATGCCCCAAGAATTTGAGACGCCATACCAGGCGCACTAAACGATCGTGACTGGTCCCTGCCGAGCATTCTCGTCGGTACTGAGCCTCGCACTGGGCTTGGTGAGCGTGGACTAACAGGGTTTGGTTGGGGGAAAATTGGAGCGTTCCGGCTCAATTCGCCAAAGACGCTTCGCCGGTCTTGATCTGGGCGGGATATGGTAGAGAAACTTCCTGCTAAACCATCGAATGAGCTTTGGGGTGTAAACCCGGGGGTCTTATTATTACCCGTACTAGAAGGGCTGAGATCTTTAGCAACATCGACACCGCTACCTTCACTGACGGCCTCAGTGCCTTCCTCTTCATCTTCCTCCTCTTCAGCTAGGTCATCCTCACTATCTGACGGAACAGGAGGAGGGTTTGTTGGAAATTTGAAACCAGGTCCAATGACTTCAGACACTGGCTTAGCAATGGGAAGAGCGGGTAACTTAGTTTCGTAAGCTTTCGGCTGCTTTACAGGATCCGGTGGTAGGGGCGAGTCATCGGCAGGTTTGGGCTTGGTAACAGTCCCAGGCAACGGGGGTAGAGGAGCGTCGTACGCCTTCTTATTATAGACAGGATCAGGTGGCAGAGGCGCACTATTGTCAACAACAGGTAACGCTTTGCGTGAGGTCCCCTGATCCGCTTGCTTGGGAGTTGAATCGGCGAAATCGGGAGGTAAAGGTACATCTTCGGCCCTGGGAGGCGTGTCTTTGATTTCTGAGGTGGCAGATGATGTCGAGGAGTCGCCTAATGAGTAAGCATCTTTGCTAGTAGACTCTGGAGGAAGAGGTGCGTCTAGAATACCTTTAAGGGGCTTAGGAGTTTCTGGCTCCGCTTTCACTTGAGGAGTTTCAGATGTTGGTGTCTGAGAGACAGAAGATCCGAAAACGCTACTAAGGCCGCTAGGAGTTTTCGGTTGAAATCCGAAGATTCCTTTGCTTTGCGACGCCGTCGAAAGGGGGGACATGAATTTCGACGGCGCGGGTGTCGACGTTGGCGTAGTTGACTCCACGTTCGATGATGGCGCTGGCTTCGAAAAGGGACTCTGTGTCCCGGTCGCGAATGGGCTCGCGGCTACAGGCTTTGCTGCTTCATCTATTGTAGCTGCGAAGCCCGAGCCGAATAACGATTTCTCCGTCTTCGGTGTCTTTTCGTCAGTGTCATTATCTCCCGCATTCGGATCACGTTGAAAACTAGACGTCAATTTGAACGGCTGTGACCCAAAAACACTTCCAGTCCCCGTACTTTGCTTAGAGCTTGGGGCCCGGAATATGGAGTTAGTATCCGTGTCCATAGAGACATCAGGTGTATCCGGCTTCGTGGATGCGAATATGCTCGATCCGCTAGAAGCATTATTAGTTCCAATGGAAGCAAAGCCGCCCTTGTTTGCGAAACTAGCAAACCCACTGCTTGAATTCACGGCACTAGGGTTTGAGCCTGCGAATGATCCCATAGCTCCGCCCGCATTACTAGAGTTGTTAGCGATGCTAGCGAAGCCCGACTGACCGAAAGCAGGCGTGCTAGATGAGGCAGACCCTGAAGCCCAAGGTGAAGATCTTACGCCGAGCCCACTAGATTGCCCAAATGCCGGTGCGGGACTGGTACCAAAACTTGATGTACCAAACGAAGGTGTACCGAATTTCGGCGCCGTGGCAGCAGCACCAGCGCCAAAAGTACTCGATCCAAATGCAGGCTTGCTGGCATCACCAGAGGAAGGCTGAGCCCCCCAGGGTGAACTCTTTGAACCTAATGCTGAGGTGCTACCAAACGCCGTCCCTGCTGCCGCTGACGGGGCTCCAAAAGTAGTGGGTTTCGAGGCCCCGAATGGGGTTGGTTGGACGGGTTTAGGGGTCGTCGTTTCGTTAGAGCTTGCCGTATTGCCTTCTGCAGCTACAATCCCCGGATACGTAGTTCCTCCCCTAATAGATTCGGAATATACAACCCACCAAACTGAAAGTATGCCTTCGGCATTCAAAACCCAATAACCTGGTAATGGGCCAGGCGATTGATCTATCTCATCAGTTGGTATAGGTTTATAAACCTTCTCTCGGCTAGATAAATCGAGAGCTGTACCAATTACTGCCGGAGTCTCCATGCCTTCACCCATTGGTAAAGTAGCCCGTTTAGAATCATCGGCCAACTCGGTAGTAGTGAAGATACCCGACGGAGCACCCGGGGCCAGCGGCGTCTTCGAACGCGTAAAAAGACCAATGTCTTCTCTAGCTGTCGAGGAGCAAATGAGGAGGTCTTGAAGATTTGGGGGGAAGTCTTTCAGTCGCACAAGAGTATGGTGGGGAGTCCGGTTGTTGCCAAAGGGCTCTACGGGGTCGCTAAGCTTTTGGAATTGGAAATTCTCCCCTTGTCTTGCGATCAGATGGCATCTAGTCTGGGGAGACTCATCTGAAGCAAGCACATGGAATGCTAGGAAAAGATCGTTCTCGAGCCAAACTAAAGACGAAACTATACGGCTATTAGTTTAGCAAGTTACCGAGTGTAAACAAGGGACCTACCAAAGTAATTTGCATCCAAATCCGGTGGCCTAGGGATATTCGCCTTGACTTCACCATCAGGTGTCATCTGCTGTATAGTACCGTCACCAAGGCCAGCCACCAACTGCTTTCCCTTATTACTCCAAGCGACACAGCTAACTTGGTCTCTCAAGACCTGACCGGAGGGTCGCGATATAAAACCACGTTCCTTCATGTTTGCCATCAAAAGTTTGCCTTCATTCGTCACAACGGCGCATAGTTCACTCTTCTCCAGGCTAGGATTTGGTATCAAAGCCCTGAGTGATTCGCCATTCGTGGGTATTTCGAAAGCGGCCTTGGTCGAGCCTTGTTGCAGGGCTTGGGTCTCATATACTGCTAAGCCTCCGCCTTCCTCGGCCGACAATATCAGATAGGCTCCGTCAGTTGTAAAAGTTAATTGACATATTCGGAGAGGTAAAGGTAACGTTAGTGGAGGCTCGAAAGCTCGGACGTCATTGTCGCCATCTTTAGGGCTATCGAACGCTTTTCGAACAGCTTCCGTAGAGGCTAGCACAACACCATCAGGACCAGCGGCAGCAACGAGACCTTGTCGCGACGCGATGCTGAGAAGGGAAGCATTATTGACGGGGGGCGGAGACCACTGTGATGTTAAATGTAGCTTAGCATCACCAGACAACGACAGGAATCCGAGGGCTTCGGTCTGAATAGGTTCCGGTGGCCCTTGGGCGGCGTCCCCAGCTGTCTGTCCCACGTTTCCGAAGCTGAATGCCATTGCTACAGCAAAATGGGATACTGGTTTCACGGGAAGGTATTCATGGAATACTAGCTATCACGTCAGTAGACAGAGTTGTTCGTATCAGAATCTTCAGTTGAGTTAAAGGAGTATTCGCCTTATTAGGACACTTTCAAGTGTAAAAGTATCTTTCAGGCAAACAGGCCTGTCTCCATAGAGGAGGACATGTGACAGTGGTCTAAAAAAAAAGATAATAAAAGTGAGATGTATTTTACAGTTGGCGCGAGAGAAAGTCGAGCTCAAATTCTAGAACGAGATGCGCCTAACAGGTAAATTACCACCTGCATACTTAGGAATGTACCTACAGATGTTCGCGTTACCCCTGCTACCGCATCAGAGCTTAGGATTGGTTACTACGCCTCCCTAGGTACTTTCTACACGTCATGTACTTAAGTAATTGCCCTCTATTCTAGTTTTACTAATGTATATTAGAAGTATTTAGGTACCTTATTCTACGTACAGTACTTTTAGGCAGGCAGAACGCGTGCACTGTATGCAATAGCTGGAAGAGCATTGAAGGTAAGGTCCAATGCAGGCAGCTAGCTCCTGGTCGTCATCCGCCTTGTTGTATCGTACCTACCCAATTCGCAGCAAACAACCGCATTCTACCTTCGTTGCTACTTGGATCTAAATTCAAGTCTAAATTCAAGATTCCAATTCATCACCAGTTGATATCCTTTTCACCATACCAACATTTAACCACCAGACACCGGATCGCATCCCAAGTTTTATACCTGAACCTATCCTGAGAAAATAATATAGTACTACCAAAATAAGCCGGGATGCCTGGTTTCGACTTCTCAAATTACAATCGCAATGCGGCTCTGCACGCCCGAGGTGTCCCGCTGCCAAAGGCGACCAGCACGGGTACTACGATCGTCGGGTGCATATTCGATGGAGGCGTTGTGGTCAGTCATTTTTCAATATCATCGCCAGCCCTCCGTTAAGAATGATGACACTAATGCAAGGCTGGCAACAAACAGATCGCAGCCGATACTCGAGCCACCAGCGGCCCCATCGTCGCTGACAAGAACTGCGAGAAGCTACATTACATCTCGCCCCAAATTTGGTGTGCTGGTGCAGGTACCGCCGCTGATACAGAGTTCACTACCGCCCTTATCTCTTCTCAACTCGAGTTGCACTCTCTTTCGACCGGTCGGAAACCCCGCGTCGTTACTTGCATGACCCTCCTCAAGCAGCACCTCTTCCGATACCAAGGTCACATCGGAGCATATCTAGTCGTTGCCGGTGTTGACCCTACGGGAACTCACTTATTCACTGTTCATGCCCACGGTAGCACAGACAAGCTTCCTTATGTGACCATGGGCTCTGGATCGCTGGCAGCTATGTCCGTCTTCGAATCTCAGTGGAAGCCGAACGGTACCAAGGAGGATGCCATGCAGCTCTGTTCACAAGCCATTCAGGCCGGTATCTTCAACGATCTTGGTTCCGGATCGAACGTTGACTTGGCCGTCATTACCGCAGACAAGACCACCCTACACCGTGGCTTCGTCAAGCCGAACGAGCGTAGCCAGAAACTAAAGAACTACAAATTCAAGCGCGGTACGACAGCAGTACTCAACGAAAAGATTATCACCAAAGACGAGATCGGAAAGTACGTCAGCGTGCAGGAGCTAGAGTCGGCGGAGGGAGAACAGATGGATGTTGACCCGTGAGTGACGAGGAAGGAGATGATGCAACGATGATCCTCTGTATCGATATTTTGTGATAATACGAGGTTATTGTCCCATTCACAGCCAGGGTAATCGATGAATAATCATCGGTGATACGAATCCATACGAGCTCCACCTATAGCTAGGCAAGATGCTCTTCAGAATATCGACCCTATTACCGCAATATTGATACTTAGATAATCAAATCCCAACCAACCACAAAACTGTATATGTGAAGGTTTGATACTACTAATGTCTAGTAATCTATCGCGTAGTCTCCTTCATTTTACAAAACTAAACGCTATAACCCCAAGGTTGCCATAACCACTCTATCTCCGAGTTTGACGCTTGGTGCATAAAATATCTTATCAGGACCCTACTAATACCAATCACAAGTGACGGAAATGGGGTGAAACTGAAGACATCTTGATATATATATATATATATATTAGGCATAGATGAACCTTCCTTAGCCACACAACCTTGGGTGTTTGAGCCAGTAGCAAGTTAGGCCCAAAGCTAATCCTATATAAATTTTTATCAAGCCCATTATTATGATTTGCATAATATGCGAACAACTATGTACATAGACGAGCAGCTCAAGGATGCCCGAGTTTACGAGGGATATTGTCTGGCTCATTTCGATTTCCGAAAATGGAAGACTTTTTTGAGAAGGAAGTTCGTCCATGCGCAGTTTTTAAGCGTTTTGATTTGGTGTATCCTCCCAGAATAGCGCCAAACTAAGTGCCTTTTTTTATTCTTGCAATAAGTTACACTCCGAATTGTATCTCATACAACTTCGCCATTTCCTAATAGAAATCTCTCATTTCTTTTAAGGATTAAAATTTAATGACCTTATTTTCTTAATCCAATTTTTTGAATTTTTTTACTATTGTGGTTGTCAAGAAATAAGTTTACGAAAAGAAGGATATTATTTACCCAAGACTTAAAATCGGCACTTATTTTGACGCCTTTCTGCCTCCAAAACAATAGGTCTTACCGGGTTCTCCACTTTTATCTTTTTTTTTTCAAAATACGTATTTTTTATAAAAGCTTAGGTTCGAATCCCACGCTTTTTTCCCTTATCCAAAATACTTTTAGGAAATTCTAGTAAAGCCTGGTATTCGAGTTTGTTGCCGTTACTTCCGGGCGGGCGGGCGGCGCGCTGCGCGCGCCGACCACGCGCCCGGCAACAACGGCACGTGATCGACCTTCGTCCGGATGTCCCTTTCAAAAGTTCGTTCCATATGTAGGGAGACCCCTGTCACTCCCGACAAGCTTTGGCCATGCTTGGCTGCGGCTGTTCACCCATTCGGTAAAGGTATTTTATTTTACTTTAATCTTTCAAAACAATATTTCTTCTTTTAAATAAATCGTAAAATTTTGAAAAAAATAAGATTTTTAAATATGAAAGAATCAGGTTTAAATATACTATTTTCAAGCTATAGCAATGTTGTTTTTAATCGTAAGAAGTAGTATTAAAATTAGTGATAATGATGTATACATCTTTAAATGTTTGAAAGGGGCATCCGTAAACTCGGGCTTATTGTGGGGTGCCCTCATGTTTGCGGGGGAGTGGGTTCCCCATTTCAACGCATGCGGAAAAAAGCTAGAATGGTCCCATTCAACGATCAAATTATTTGAACATACATGTCCAGGAACATCTCTCGTAGCTAAACTATCTAACCTAGGTCCTGAGGTAATTATACGTAATGATATTACACGTCTAGATTGGATATTATTACCTAATAACCATATGATGCGTTCACCTAGGTAGATACATCCAAGTTCCCTGAAGCCATGCTCGGTCTTATTATTTGGAGGCTATATGGGTATTATCCCCACATCCAAGCTTTGTCTTCATCAACGAATGACCTTTAATGTCCCAGTTAACATGACGAGCGACTATAAGATGACATAACGGTGCCTATTTGCCCAGCCTGCCAGCCGCTACTCCAACCGGGGTATAAGCAGCCAAGGCAGGCTGCCCTTGCTCTCCCCACAAACAGAAGATAGCTTTCAAAGTTTTCCAGGGCTTCCAAGTTAGATAGTGTTTAGTGTACCCCAACAGCCATGCAGTCTGGCTGACGGTCGAGGTACTGCAAGAATGTCTATAAATATACCTACGAGGCTCTCCCCAAGTTGTCGTGTCGTCACGCCGAGTGCTTTCGTTCTTACTCCCACATTGTTCGACTTGTGATCCTATAAAGTATGGCAGGCCTACGGCGCGTAACGGCGGCATTAGCTTTCATCTCGTCTCCTATCGTCTATGGTCTCTACCAGAATGGCTCGTCCTTTTCGCCTTGCGATTCCCCTCTCTATTGTCAAGGCGACGTCTTAAAGCAGATCGAATTGGCTCGGCCTTTCTCCGATTCCAAGACATTCGTAGACCTGTACGTTTAAGGATCATTGATTTTGAGATTGCACCAGCTAATAGATAAACAGGCCGACAAAAGTGCCCTTGGACAAAGTTCTTGCCGCCTTCGACAAGCTCGCTAAGCCTCTCAGTAATAATACAGAGCTTAACGATTTCTTATCGACTTACTTTGGTCAGGCCGGGACCGAGCTAGCTCAGGTTCCTAGAGACCAGCTCGAGACTAATCCTGTATTCCTGGATGACATTGATGATTCTGTGGTCAAGCAATTTGTACAAAAGGTCATCGATATATGGCCCGATTTAACCAGGACTTGTAAGCAATGCGTTGAGACGGCGATCCTAAGATAGATCATACCGCGTCTGAATACACTAACACTGAGATTTGTAGATGTGGGTGCCAGCAACTGCACGGGATGTGTCGATAGTTTCATTCCGGTCAATCGCACTTTCGTCGTCGCCGGTGGGCGGTTCAGAGAGCCCTACTACTGGGATTCGTTCTGGATTATAGAAGGTTTGCTAAGAACCGGTGGCAGTTTCACTCAGATCTCCAGGTCAGCCGTCTACGTAACCCTACGACTATAATACGTGTTAGGCGTACTAACACACCATTAGGAATATCATTGAAAATTTTCTTGATTTCGTTGAGCAATTCGGATTTGTTCCCAATGGTGCACGCTTATGGTACGAACGGACAATCACTATCCTTTTCCGCCTCCGAGTTCTACTCATTCCCTTCACTACTTTACCCTTACATTTAAAAAGGCATCTCAAAACATAGACGCTAACTTGATTACAGTATGTTAACCACATATTTCCATATTCTCCTCACATACGTTTTCCTACTTAGTAGGGACGTCTGTTGGATGAGAGATTATGACAATGACGAGGGAATTAACACATGATAGACTATCTAAACCGCTCCCAGCCACCCCTCCTAACACAGATGGTTAAGACTTATATTGACTATACCAACGACACGAGTCTCCTCGAACGCGCGTTGCCTCTACTCATCAAAGAGCATAACTTTTGGATAGAGAACCGCACATTAGCAATCACGTCGGGTGATAAAACCTTCCATCTTGCGCAGTAAGTAACATCTAAGAACTATAATTTAATGGCATCCTATATTCTAATATTAAATGCGCAGCTATGAGGTCCAAAACACTGAGCCGCGACCAGAGGTATATGAATAATTTCATTTTCTTCTCTTTACCCCATCTCTTAAAGTCCAGTAATTCCCACGAGTCTAGCAGTTAGATAGCTGTCAAAACTTTTATCACACGTATAAATCTGACTTACGATGCAGTCATATCGCGAGGACTACATTACGGCCAACAACAGGTCATATTACGCAGAATCCGGTATCATTTATCCCGAATCGCATCCTCTAAATGAGAGCGAGAAAGCCGAGCTCTACTCTAACCTTGCCTCGGGCGCTGAAACAGGATGGGATTATACCTCGCGATGGATTGCTAACCCATCAGATGCCGCCAAGGACGTTTATTTCCCGCTACGCTCTCTCAATACAAACAATATAGTCCCTGTAGACCTGAACTCGATACTATTTGCCAATGAGATGGTCATTTCAGGCTATCTAGGCAAGAGTGGCGACAGCCCGCTGGCTACGGAATTCGAGCAGCTAGCTAAGAATCGCTCAGAAGCCATGTATGCGCTGATGTGGAACGATAAGTACATGAGCTATTTCGATTACAACCTAACCTCAGGAGCGCAAGACCTCTACGTACCATCGAACGCGGACACCACCCCGGCGGAGAAAGCAGATGCCCCCGAAGGCTACCAGGTATTCTTCCATGTCGCTCAATTCTACCCCTTCTGGCTAGGCGCAGCTCCTCCACAACTCCGGGACAATCCCCTAGCCGTGAAGCTCGCGTTCCAGCGCGTTTCCGACCGAGTCTCTGAGAAGGCCGGTGGCGTTGCTGCCACAAACTATGTCACCGGCCAGCAGTGGGATCAACCGAATGTCTGGCCACCACTGATGCATGTGCTCATAGAGGGCCTACTCAAAACCCCGGCAACTTTCGGAAAGGAGGATCCTGCGTACCTTGAAACTCAGGACCTTTCTCTTAAGTTGGCGCAGCGCTACTTGGATAGCACGTTTTGCACGTGGCGTGCGACAGGCGGCTCTACGGATGAGACGCCGAAACTAGAGGGACTTGGTCCGGACGACGAGGGAATTATGTTTGAGAAATGGTATGTCTATAGTTCCCATAATGAGCCCGCTGGGTCGAGTTTTGTTCCGGATTGAAGCTAACATGATTGTAGTATGTCGTTTCCCCCCTTGTTCTGTATACCCTCGTATCCCCCATTTTACCCATAAATATGAACTTCACTATACAGCAGACTTTTGAGACCCTAGCAAATATTAATTTTTTTTACAGACGCTGACGATTCGACCAATGTTGCCGGCGGAGGAGGCGAGTACGAAGTCGTCGAGGGATTTGGATGGACGAACGGTGTGCTGATCTGGGCGGTCGACACGTTTGGCAACAAGCTGAAGCGGCCCGATTGTGGTAACTTGACGGCAGCGAATATCGACCGGAAGTTAAGAAAACGGGGTTCTTCCGGTCAGCGAGCGGTTGAGTTGTCCCCTTATGACGCTCGGTGGGTAGCAAATCTCCGCCAAGGACGATAAAGGGGGTAAGGTGTGTTACATCATCTAGCATGTTAGAATATGAGTCTATAAACATACGGGTGCTGTAACGTAGCATTATAACCTACCTACACATTCAGGATACTTATAATAATTATTATTGGTATGAAAGAGCATAAAGTATGTGTTTCTTCTCACTTCTCTGCAGTGATTACTGGGTTATATAATCGAATCCATAGGGGGGCTTCATGATAAGGGACTGTAACAAATGAAATGTAATATATCTGCTTTATAATATCAACACCTCGGGGAGGCTATAATTACGAGAAATACACTATGTCACCTTGGGTGATCGATTCAAGACATTAATATGGACCTGATATAACAGGTACTTTAGATCAAGGAATAAGTATGCTGAAGTCCTGTTGATACGGGTCACAGAGTTACTGGTGCTAATCAGCACGACTGAGTACCAGTGGTCAGTCCACAATCATCCTTGGTTACATGATACCGAGGTTTATAGGTCGTAAAAGACCCGAGATAATCTGAGCATTACTCATGGTATTCTAATCATCTAGTTTTGGCAGGTCAGAGACCATAAATGCGGCGTCTTATTAGCATACTTCATATTTCTTCTGACATTAACATATGCTCTCAAGGAAACCGAGGCATTGGCAATCTATTATCATGCATTCGGCGTGGCCGTTTTTGAAAAAAACATCTATGATCGGGATGTTAAGCCGACGGGTATGATAATATTGCGGCTGTGAGGCTTAAAAAGGTCGAAACAAGCAACCCCAGGTGCTTTCCCACGTGTAGGCCAGGGATTCTTTGATCGAATCCGCCGAACATCGTGCCCTAGTTGCCCAAATAGGAAATCTCAGCGGAAACACCTATTCGACACTCCTGATAAACTCTTAAATAATCGAAAAGCTTAATTTCACAAGCATATAAACTGGAATGATCGTCGGTTCTGAATTATATCTATAAAGCAGTGTCTATCTCTCGTAGTTATGAGCTTTTCCGTCTAGCTCACCAACATCCTAACGAACGAAGCCCATCTACAGCAAAATGGCTAGCCTTTTCAACGTCGGACTCGTCTTATCAATGGCGACTACTGCCCTGGCCTTGGGAACTGGATGGCCGACTTCCGGTACCGAGAGTGGTCAAGTTCGCGTTTATAGCTGGAGTCAGGCAGCGGAGGTTGGATGTCTGACGGCGGATGCGAGCTGGACTGCGTCTGGAAACTGCGATACTTTTACTGCGCAAGCTCTTGGTCCTATATACGTTGACAGGCCATGGACTCAGCTCGAGATCAAGAACAGTGCTGGTAACAAATGTTGGTTTAACGATGAAGAAGATCTAAAGCTCGCATGTGACGACTCGGTCGCCACCACTCTTTGGGTGCATGCATCGGATTACAAGTCTGACAGTTAGTGATCCCCTTGGTTTGGCATGGTGAATTGTAATACTAATATAGTTGAACGTATAGTTCTTGTTCACAACCGAGCGTTAGACAGCTACGTTCCATTTGATGGTAGTAAGCCTTCCGGGAGCAAAGCTGTGGCTTTGAAGAGCAAAGGACAGACTCAAGACGGCAATAACTACCAGCTTATATGGGTAAAACAGTGAATATGCTGAATATGCTGCATGGGTGTGTCTAGTTAATAGGTTGGCTGTATTACGGCAAACGACAGCAAATGGTGAATGGGGGATATCTATTAGAAATACATAGTACAAGAGAAGCATTCTTGAAATCTGAGAAAGCGCAGTGGAGTGGTACTTATCCGATTAGCATAATTTTAGAAGGGTACTTGATGCACGTAGACCCTTGTACACATGTACGTAAGCTTCCTACCTGATAGACGCATATGTTCTAGTCTAGCCCGCCTCCAAACGGACGGACCCTGGTACATGCAGCTGGTCCCTTGGACTCGGCTCAATTGTTCGCTGGAAAGGTGAAGGTGGCCTTTCGATTTACATATACACGTATCTTAATACACGTATCTCAAGTTTGCATCTATCCTAGCTTCTTGATCGTCCATTCTTTACTCCACGTTGAGCTCGGGTATTCCAATGCGGCGTCTACGGTGATTTTATACGATTCTCTCTATTGGTTCTGGTTTTACCTTGCCATTGACTTTTCCTACCGCCTACCTACCTACATAACGGAGGTATTAAAAAGAAAAAAAGAAAAAAAAAAACCAGTTGATCTGACCTGCGCAACCTATCCGACATGCCTCCGAAATCGAGATTCACAAGGCTAGATGCCTTTACCAAGACCGTCGAGGATGCGCGCATACGAACTACCTCGGGCGGAATCGTCACTATCGTATCCCTGATCATCGTTTTCTATCTTGCCTGGGGGGAATGGTCCGACTATAGGAGGATAGTTATCCACCCCGAACTTATCGTCGACAAAGGCAGAGGTGGGTTAATAACAATATGCTCCCCTGTCCTAATTCAAGCATCTTACGCCCTTAATCGCAGGAGAGCGCATGGAAATTCATATGAACATCACTTTCCCTAGGCTGCCTTGCGAGCTCCTAACCCTTGACGTGATGGATGTCTCTGGTGAGCAACAGCATGGTGTTTTACATGGTGTGAAGAAAGTCAGACTGCAACCAATTACACAAGGCGGCGGCGTTATCGATGTGACTGCTTTATCTCTGTGAGTTGGATCACCTTACTATCTGTCTTCATTCTACCCGGCTAACCGGCCCAGCCATGGCAAGGAAGAAACCGCCGAGCATCTAGATCCTAACTACTGCGGGCCCTGCTATGGCGCCCCGGCTCCCGCCAACGCCGCGAAACCCGGCTGCTGTAATACCTGTGACGAGGTTCGGGACGCGTACCAGCAGGCGTCTTGGGCTTTTGGTAGGGGTGAAGGTGTCGAGCAATGCTTGCGGGAACACTACGCCGAGAGGTTGGACGAGCAGAGGCACGAGGGGTGCCGGATTGAGGGCGCGATTCGCGTCAACAAGGTTATTGGCAACTTTCACTTTGCGCCAGGTCGAAGTTTCAGCAGCGGCAACATGCACGTTCACGATTTGAAGAACTACTGGGATAGCCCGGTTCGTCACTCATTTGAGCACGAGATCCACCAACTACGCTTCGGACCTCAGCTCCCTGAAGATATCACGCGGAAGCATGCCAAGAACAGCCCTTGGACTAACCACCACATCAACCCTCTTGACCAAGTCAAGCAGACCACCGAGGATCCCGCTTTCAACTTCATGTACTTTGTCAAAGTTGTCCCTACTGCGTATCTTCCCCTAAGCTGGTCGACGGCGAACGGACATAACAGACAACTTGACGAGGAGACATGGTTGGGAGGCCTGGGCCACGCAACTGATGGCAGCATGGAGACTCACCAGTACTCGGTCACAAGCCACAAGCGAAGCTTGGCTGGCGGTGATGACGCAGCTGAGGGTCACCAAGAACGGATGCACGCGAGAGGTGGTATCCCAGGTGTATTCTTTTCCTACGTGAGTGTTTCTCTCGGTCTCTACCTAACGAATCGACTACTAACATGAAATAGGACATCTCCCCGATGAAAGTGATTAACCGTGAGGAACGTGCTAAAACTTTCACCGGCTTTCTAACAGGTCTATGCGCTGTGATCGGTGGTACGCTGACAGTAGCTGCGGCGGTTGATAGGGGTGTATACGAAGGTGCGACGAGGCTGAAGAAGCTTCAATCAAAAAATCTTTAGAGGTGTTACTGGGTATTATTTCAAGTGTAAATTAAACGCCTGGCCAAGATAGGTTCTTTTGCTTGTTTCCATAACGCATAGGAAAATGGAGTTGCCGGTTAGATATTTGGAAATCAGTCTTATCAGTCTTCCCAAGTAAGATGCTTAAGCGTAGTGTTCCACCAGTAGTTGTTATTTTAAGCTTATGTCGATAGAGTCAGCATTGGCTTGTTTAGGGCAATACGTTTTTGGGGGTTTTTTTTTGTGGAATGATTTAATTAATTTCGATATAGCGTTCGAAGTTGTAAAAGACCGTTTACTCTAGTGGGTGGCTTAGATGAACCCCTTTGAATAGCACACAACCTTTAAGACAGTGCGTGGGAAAGGGACGATAATACCTGTACTTTTATACAGAGCTACATCAGAAAGCTATTATTGTTGTCATCCCCTGCTACAACTGGCTAGATCCTTAGATGTCCTTCTATCTTATTAGTCTATCTACGTATTTGGTATGTCGACATTGACATTTCGATTCTTTACATATAATATGTCCGCACGTGTGCATATAATCTTTCTTAGCGAAGGCTTATTTATTATTCGCCGAATAGCTTTGCCCCTTGACGTCAATCTCCCGAAGAATCAGCTGAACCAGGTACTAGACACATTATGTAATTGTCCCTGAATTTGAAGGTTCATAGGCAAGGTACAATACATACATATACCTACACTACATATGTAGTACGTACATAGCTGGTTGGTTGGTGGCTTATGAGATACCGAAAATCTTGCATGGCCGCACGGTCTAACAGCAGGATCTATGTATCTCTCTTATGTACCTATTAGCATAACTGGTTAGTGCCGAGACTGCGAAAGCAAACTTTTAATATTCTCGTATCTTCATGTCTAGATGATTGGCCAAGATCAATACTCCTATAATTCACTAGCCATATTTGGAGAAGATACTACATCATTTTACTGCAAGTGGCTTCTAAGACCCGCAAGGACCAGTCCAAGCAATGGCGTCAAGGGGTAACCAACTCGAGATCCGTTTTCCACACTTTTAACTTTTATAGCTGAGACTTGGATTCGTATGCGATTTGTTTCCAATTGCTGCGTACTTACGTAGTCGGGATATATTTGCGAGCTAAAAGGCGATGTTAGAGGCTTAGGCTAACGTAAACATTATACATAATACGAGTTGCCTATTTCTTTATTTATGCATGGCGTAGCATACTTTTTGTTCTAGATAGGTTAGACACTTAGCTATTTTGATATAGGTACTAGGTACTATGTAGGTAATTACCAAACATTTGAATTGGTACATTAAATTGAATTTATTGCACAGTACATGTACGTACCGAATTCTGCAACCATTGAATTGACCTGTCATGCAGGCTGCAGGATGCGTTACATATTAGCTAATTCGAGTTCCTATGTCAAGTCGCCCAATCAGGAATGGCCGCCCCCGGATTACTTTCATTTCGGGAGACCGTGTGGTAGACAGTACGGTTTTGTCCTAACCCTAACCTAAATAGTAGTGGTAGGGGTTCGGTAAGTCCCTCCTGACACTGTACCTACATGTACCTTAGGCAGTACGTAGAAGCAATCTGGCTGGCTCCTGGCTTCCTGGCTCTTCGACCCTCTCCTTCTGACCATTGAACCCCGGGGTAATCTCGAATCAAACCTTTGATTGTTCACCTTCTCCTCAACTATCGCACACGTATTTGCGCTGACAAAGTAAAGATTCACTTTTTATTCCTATTCTCTGTAGCCCTGCTGTTAAAGCTAGGTGGACTCTTTTGGTGATACATTTTCATCGTCCGTTCTTTGCACCTACACCTAACCTACTAACTTATATGTTATTCTTCGTACCTATCACTTTTCCCAGTCTCTCTTTCCTTCACCCCTTTCGTCAACTTTCGATCTGATTGTATGCCTCTCTACCACCTACGTACATATTACACGGTATCGAAAAGAAGACGGCATTTGTCTCTTCGCAAACCTGCCCTGTAGTACATTACAACCTCAACGACCCAAACAGTAGACTCCTGTTTACGCTTACTTCGATCTTCCAAATACGCCGATCGTACATTCCTGTCGCATACCATTCTCTACGTGGACCTACAAAGCCGACTTAATGTTTTATGCGCTTCTAGGGTATCACCTTCACAAGCTTCGTTTTCGACTTACGAACACTTATTAGATATTTGGTTGGATTAGGGACTACGCCTCCTCGGCATTCGGTTACCACCTGAATCCGCTCTAGTCGCCTGGTCTCCAGGCGGATCGGGAGATCCAACACTACGATTTGTCTCAAGGTCAATTACATTTACTAAACATCCATTTTGATCCCAACTTCGATAATCTTCGCCTCATCATGGCCAACAGGCCTAATTTCATCGACCTCAGGACCGATTCGTCGGCCTCGGTCAATAGCAGTGCCTCTCGTCCCCTAAGGTCACCGCGATTACATGTCGCTGGGGAGGTTCCTCCCGCCTTATCCCCCCTTGATGCCTTTGCTGCTCAGAGCCGCTTGCTTGCCAAGCAGCTCGAGGACAGCGCCAAAACTGGGAGACGAATGAGCCGTCTACCCCCATTGACAACGGACAGCCCGTTAATTGTTCAGGGCCGTTCCGAATATTTTCGCTCTATGTCCTACGACTCGTCTGAAGACCGACCTCAGACCCCCCAGCAAAATACTGGGCTTGGTTTGACTACGGAAGTGGAATCGCCATCAGAGCGGCCTGTTTCGATGCACCCTCGAATGAGTCGCATACCTCCCACGCCCGACCAATCGATCCCAGTGCCTCCAAACCCATTCCTCGAGAATGCGCGCGGCCGACACCTTGAAAAGCTTCAGGAGGATGAAGGGATGTATGGTGCGCGCCGAGAAGAATCGCCTGGTGACTTGGAAAGTGTAGCGGACAAGGCAACGGACCATAAATCAGCAGAGCATGATATCGAACCCAGAGAGCTCTCGCCCACCAGCACCCGCTTTCCATCGTCTCCGGAGAAGCTTACCAAAACGACCTCGCATGAGTCTGCCGGTTTGTTTCCACCAAGGCCTATCTTCCCTAAGCGTTCTTCGAGTATAATGTCTGCGCCTTTGGATGTCAGTAATGAGGATACCTTGAGTGCCTCTTTCTACTCTCAACCATCCCGAAAGCTTTCATCAGGTAGCAGTTTCTCGGGGCCGGGTCTTGCGTCGCCAAATACCCACTACCAAAGGTCTCCCTCGATTAGTTCCGAAGCTTCTATGCCTTTACCACGTCCTGCTTTCAACTTTTCTCGACCGCTCAGCCGGACTGGCACGCCAGGCCTAGACCCGCCAACTCGACAAGCTTCGTCGGATAGCCAACCATCCTTCGTACTTGCCGATGAGACTGCAAATACCCCAGTCAGCATGCATAGTGAGGCCTTCTTAGACAGCCATTTCACAGAGGACGGAGGAAAGGGTGCTCCTTCATATATCTATTCTAAATACGCACTCCCGAGGGGTAAGTCATTACAGCGCAACTCGGTTATTTTCCGCGACAACGAGCCGCCAAGGAGTGGTCAAGCGCCGCCGTCGCCTCCTACTAGGCCTTCGAGTTCCTCGTCGAAAACGCAAGAAGGCCAGCACGCAGCCGATTCTCTTCTAGGACGTCCATCCATCGAACGAAGTAAACTTTCCAAAGAAATGTCTTTAGAAGGGAGACAGCCGTCACCCGACCCAAGTCGCCCCTCAACGGACACGAGTAGACCATCTGAGGATGTGCCTAGAGGGCGCACCCTTACATCTCCGCTCCATGACCAAGGCCGAGGGCGAACGCCAATGTCGGTATCCACAAGTGACTCGGCTAGCACCATCAGGCCACCGAGGTCACAGCATTCTCATGCGCCTACAACCTCTGAAATGAGTGCGGAAGAGCATTTGGCAAAGGGCATTAAGTGTCACGAGGAGGGCTCTGTAAAAGAATCTACCTATCACCTGCGATTTGCTGCGCGTGCCGGCGACCCAACTGGTATGCTACTGTATGCGTTAGCTTGCAGACATGGATGGGGCATGCGAGCGAACCAACGAGAAGGCGTCGAGTGGCTACGGAAGGCTGCCGATGTTGTGAGCGCCGAAATTGCAGAAGATGAGGATCACGCCAAGGAAGGTAAAACAGTAGATTTCATGGATCATAAAACCCGCAAGGCCCAATTTGCCCTAAGCATCTACGAGTTGGGTGTCAGCCATATGAATGGTTGGGGAATCGAGCAGGATAAAGCACTCGCTTTGCGATGCTTTGAGATTGCCGGCAGTGAGTTAAACCTCGAGGAAAATGTTTGAGGCGTAATCTAATAAATTTGATAGGTTGGGGTGATGTTGATGCTCTTGCCGAGGCTGGCTTCTGCTATGCTCAAGGCGTGGGCTGCAAGAAGGACCTCAAGAAAAGTGCCAAGTTCTACCGCATGGCCGAAGCAAAGGGCATGAGTATGCCGGGAAATAGCTGGTTAGTTCTCTTTCGACCGTGTGGCGTACTGCCTTCGACTAATATCATGTTATAGGATACACAAGGCGAAATATAGCGATGACGTTGGCAGCCCGAAATCGAAGCGTGGCCGAAGCAAGTCAAAAAGTCGGGCGATTTTCGGCAAAAAGACATAAGGAAAAGAAGGCAAAACCGGAGGCGGACTACACGGTTATTGATTCGAGTCGTTTTGACTTGCTCGGCGTTCGGGTGGTAGCATTTATCCAGCAAAAGCAGCAAAGTACCAATCCAATGGCGTGATGATTAGGGGCCAGGTTGTGCCCCCCGTTTGCAAACTGCCATTTTACGCATAATACCCCCGATTATGAGTCAGCACCGAAAGGAAGAGTACTGCCTCGTATCGGAGTAGTTTGGCGCTAGGGTACAAAGTGCGGGAGGACCGTGTCAATATCTGGGCTACCGTATATATGAAGAGCACTCTAAAAAGGAGCAGGCTCTTAAGGATACCCATGTGCGTTGTATATAACGGCGCCCTCTGCACAAATAAGTTAGGGAGGCGTTGAGGAGCAGGTGGTGGATGGCAAGAAAGCCAGATCTAGGTAGCCTGAAGTTTTGAGAAAAGGTGATGCTGAGAGATGTATGGCCCGCTAGAGAAAGCTGGGTAATTTCTAAGATTTTCAGGCGTTGTTCTCGCGAAGAAGAGCAGGGCGATTTTTTCTCCTGTTAACTCTTGTACTGTCAAAAGTATCTATTCCCATCGCACGACTCGTGCGCAGACCACCAAAACTCGTAATAGGGCTTTGGTATTTTACATGGCGGTGACATTTTAGAGCACTGTTCTGTGTGTATTTGATAGTATCTACTCCTTCTTAACAGACGTACTTACATGTACAATTGTTAAGGATATAATTTTTTAGCTTCGTACGCACCTCATATAGAGGGACGTTACTCGACCTTGCGATCAGTATTTCTCTCGGGAGATTTGTATGAGGACTCGATATACGACCTAAAGTACCGAATAACCTCAACTGGGGATTACGAAGTATCTTACAAAAATTCTAGCCAATCAATGCCGAAGGAATTTGCACGGTAAAAGTAATACGGCCAATTGAAGTGCCTTAGAATTTTAACTTATAAGGCTTCTATCAAGTTGATATTCAATATCCTTGAGGATTGCGCAACTTGTCCAGCCGCGGCCCCGTCACGTTAAGGATTACTTCGGTAAGGACCCAAGCCTTCGGCCGTCTCACGGGGTCCGTCGGAATGACTAGCCCCTTTCTCGGCAGCGATTTTCTCAAAGACACCAGCCAATCTCTGGAGAGCTTCCTCGCCGACCTGGTAGTGTGTTATAATACGATTGCCGTTTAGTTTCAAGCCGGCTTGCTGGCCTAACTCGACGAATCTAGACGCGCTGGTGTTTAGGGATTTTAAGTCAAGCCAGACCATGTTCGTCTGGACGGGAACATCCACCTTGCCGCCTAGATCCGTCCACATCTTCTCGACGCGCTTGGCCGTCGCGTGCGTGTCTTGTAGTAGTCCACCCTCGCCGTTGGGTCCTTTCCCGAAGGTCACGTCAACTGCTACCCTGGCCGCGGCCGTGACGACACCGGATTGACGCAGACCGCCGCCGAGAGCCTTGCGCACCCATCTCGCGTGCTTTATTAGTGGCTTGCTGCCGACGATTATACTTCCGATCGGGGCACCTAGACCCTTGGAGAAGCACAGGGAGACGGTGTCAAAGTATTGGCAGAAGTCCTGCAGCGACCCGCCGCCGGAGGCGACTACCTCCCATAGTCTGGCACCGTCACAGTGCATAAGTATGCCATGCTCCCGTGCAAACTCTGAGATCCTTCGAACCTCGTCTAACGGCGTGACTAGGCCGGCCAGCGAATTTTCGAGGCTGATGACGCGCGTTGGGCAGGAATGCACTTCATCCCCGAGCGTGACGTTAGATTGGACGTCCTCTAGAGTTAGATAATTGCCGTTACTAGGTACTACGGCCTTGATCATGGCACCGGATAGAGACGCAACACTGTGCATTGCAATAGTCAGCCCCAAGGAGGATACAGCGGCAGACGATGGCGTTTACCCTCCAGCTTCATATTGGATAATGTGAGAACGGTGGTCAGTCAGCACACCGTGAGGAGGCTGAGTGAGCAAGGTACGTAGAGCGATTTGATTTCCCATGGTACCAGAGAGGACAAATAGTCCAGCTTCTTTACCTGTTAATGAGGCTACGTGCGCCTCTAGGTCTATGGTGGTCGGGTCTTCTTGAAACACATCATCCAGCAACGTCGTTTTCTGAATGGCAAATAACATAGCTTGGGTTGGAGTTGTCATGGTATCGCCTATGTGTGCATGAGAGTTAAGTACCTAGTATAAGGAGCTGGGTTAAAGGGGTAACGAGTCAACGACCTACTTCTAAGGTCAAAAGCAGCAGCACCTCGATGGCCAAGCCAGCTGCTAGCCGGCTCGCTTTCAAATTTCTCCATGATAGGCGACGTATGTTTAAGCGAAGAATGAATGAATCTAAGATGATTAGTAGGTCGGAATAGGACTGAAGGTAACGGCGGGGTCGCCAAATGTTTTATAGTCTGGAGTCGGCGTGTGGACCGGCCGAGTCTCGTGCCTCCGGCGAGCGCCGTTCTAAGCAGAGGCTTCCCGAGAACATCCATGGTTAATACGGAGTATTGCCTACTTGAGAAGACCCGGATCGCCTATAGAATGTGCTTGAGATGAGTGGCTATCGCATTACCGTGTAAGTGCACTAATCGATTAGCTTCACAAAAGCCGGATAAATGGGGCATCATACATACTACCAAGTGATAGCAGCCGTCGGAGATACCTTAATCAGGTGTTACGCGTAGAAGCCGACCAATTAAAGTCGGCGTTCCATGGGAGGGATTGCTATGTATATCCACAAGGCACTTCCCCTTTTCAGCTCGCCGGATGACATACATGGTGGTGACGACGACGACGACGACGATGATGATGATGATGCAGGATGATGCAGGATGATGCAGAATGATGCATGATGAGCCATAGCTAATTAATGGAGGTTTATAATTATACTAGGTTACGTGTAGCTATGGCACAGCACGGTGGTATCATTCTATAAAGATGGGGACGGCATACGGAGTGCTCCTCTACATATAGACGGGGCTCGGCAACACGACTAGTTTACCGTATCCCATTCTCAGGTTCACGTGATATACTGAAATAGATTATAGGATGGACAGCATAGAACACACCGAAGAGCTCGTCTCAACTTGTGTTAGGATTCTCGCACTGCTCACACAAAACCCCAAACCCAGACCTTGGCCCAAGACACAGCAAATTGTTCCGTAGCAAGATATAAAAACTTAATCTATACGCAACTTGTCAGTAAAACATGTTACATACCTAAGGTAACATGGTCAATATGGCTATCTCGCGTAGAAGGTGTTCAGGTGATAGATAGGAGGGTTATTTGTATAGATGTATAGGTGTATAGGTGTATAGGAGGGTATTTAGGTAGGTACGTTGCATACCCCTAACACATTCAATACCAGTGTACCACCTGATACGCTAAAGTTTGCTGCTTCGTGAGGAAAGCATGGCCTTACTTATAATTAGGATGTCAGGATGTTAGGATGTCTCTATCATATCGGTTCGGTTTGGTTCGGTTTGAGATGAAAGTTTACAGGTGGCAGTTGCATATTGTTTCGTCCCGTAGCGGTGCTTCTGATTTACTTCTTAGCCCTTAAGCACATCCAAAACCACATGTAGATTGTAGTCACTCCCTCATCATCTACCAAGCACGCGCGTAGAGCGCGTATATACGCGACTGACAACAGGTGCACAACCCTTTTTTTTCTAGGCAACACATTAGAATCCAACTGAGTCACCAAGGCCCTCATCACTCTCAGTCGCATTGCCCCCCCTTTTTTCATTCTTCATCTGCACCCATCCTTCTCGCTGCTTATGCTCGTCATTTCTCATAACACGGAAACTATCACTCCTTTACTCCTTGTGAAAAGATCACCGAAACAACCAAATACGTAACGAGGCTATATTGCAAACACGATGAAGTCCTTCATTGCCATCACCGCGGTGGTACTTGGAGCTGCTGCTCGAGTAGCCAATGCTCAAGGCTTCGTCTCCAACTGCACCTGGCAGACTGGCTTCATGTCAGACAATTTCCTCGGAATGTATTGCAACAACAACAACTGGGCAGAGTATAGCTACGATTGGACTTGGTAAGTGTCCATGGACACAAAAAAAAAGAAAATCATTTTGACTGCATTTACTAACTCGGAGACTCCGTAAAGGCTCGACACCAACGTCTGCCTAACCAACTACGGTGGCAAGCTCTACCCCTACGTCAGGTACGAGACCTTATCCGCGTCTCACATCTTTCTTATCGTGTTAACATGAATGTTGGATAGTGGAGGCTACTGGTCAACCTGCGGCAACTGCGCGGTTCGCGGGAGCAACGTCGACTTCATCCTGACCTGTGACTGCCTCAATGGGCAAGGCCGTTTCGCCTCTTCCACCTACGATCTCAGTATGATTGCCCATCTTGTGTTAATGATATAGACTATTGCGTTAATAGTACTGACCCATTATCCAGATCGGTTTATCTGGAATCACGACGGCGCTCTGGGCTGCTTCAACTACATCGGAAACAAGACAGAGAGGGGTCCATTCTAGTCTGGAATACTACTCGACTATGTGATATACGCCAGGCTTCGATTCAGAATACGTGATACCCATGTCCGTATTATCCGTTTACTGAGAGGATTCGAGGAATAGGGAGGCCATGACGGTGAACTGTCCATGTGGTAGATTAACTTGTGATATAGCCACGCCTTACTTATAGGGCTGATGTGCGTTGACTTCAATTCATCGCGATACGATTTGGTACATACGTTCCGCACATTGCATTCTCATATAATACGTGCTTCCCGAGCTATTAGCTATGCAGAGCAGAATATACGGCTGATTGCCTTTATATATTCATATTTACAGCACCTCGGAGAGTCACTGCTCACGAGGCTCACGAGCACGATTAAATTAACCAGAAGGTCATCAACTTTCCACATGGCAATATATATGGCAACATATATGTCGTTATCAGTTCTTATGGACGACTAAAAGTTTATATCAACTATCAACAATTTCCAATGTTGTCAGGGATTCTTTGTTTCCCCTGTAGCGAATCTGGGCACTAAGCTAGTAATACCGCGAATATCATCAAAACTCATAAATTCGACCTGGTCTATTACCATGTCTGACCCACATACAGTAAGATTAGGTACTTTGTGAGTCTGTAATAAGGCTATAAGGCTACAAGCCAATGCGCAGGGGGAAGCTGTGGATAGCTATGGTTAGTCTCATCCTTCGCTATCTATAATAAGTCAAGATCATACATACTTACTTGTATATAGATGCCTATATAACTAGATAGTATATACCGCGCCCTTCATTTATTACCGTTACCTACTTTCTTTTACTTCTCAGTCGCTCCTTTGCTCACGCTTATTGCAGACTCTATCTGCTTTCCACTCGTTGAATTCCCCGTCGCGGTCTAATTCAAAATGATTTTCCCGTCCAAGTTTTCCATCCAAACCCTTGCGCTCGTGGCTGGCTTTTGCGCCGTGTCCGCGAGACGTTTACCGAACCTGCATCGTCCGTATATCGCGGCCGCGAACCAAGTCGAGAGCCATGTTGAGTCGCGCACCACTGGCACCGGACCTAAGGGTTTCCTTACGCTTGACGATAGGGCGCATGTTGAGGGCTTCCATGCTGCGTCCGTGCACAGCGCTTCCACGGCCGCGGGCGAGAGCTTTAGTGCTTGCTTAGAGGTACGTTTGTCGCTGCCCTTCTTGCTTGAGTCCTTGTACATTAGGAGTTGACTTTATACCGTAGGATACCACAGCTTCTGTGGCCGACTGCCAGGCCGTCATTGGCGATATCCGAGCCAACAACGGCACCATCAAGGTAGCCGGGGGATTCTGCTTGAACTGGTGGGAGGGCGGTTGTCTTGGCCGGGTGTGCGGTGGTAAGAGCCAGGAGGTTTTCTCGGAAGATTCGCAGTGGATCGCGAACACAATGACTGCCTCGATTCTCAACACGTGTGTCGCCGAGGGCAAAAGCGGTGCGGCGGCGGATTGTGCGGATGTTAGTACTACGTGTGGGACGTACAAGCTGTCGCTGCAGGCGTACACCGGTATCTAAGTGTCGAGTCGGGTGTGCCGTTCTATTATTAGGTTGTTATGGGATCTGCGAAGCTTGAGGGTGTTCGGTTTACTCGGTAGCGAATATTCTAAATACCTAACCTACCTAGTAGTAGTAAGAGGATGGCATCGTTTTTGATAGTGGATATACTTGACCTATTATAATAATAATAAATAATACATAATAAAGTGAAAAGTATTACCAGAGGCTCGTAGTGCGAATAGATACCTATGTATATACTAATATATATATATATATATATATATATATATAACAACAAGTACGTGACAGCAGCGCTCTACTTCCCAGCCGCAAGGATCGCCGCCTCAATAGCATCTCCTAGGGTTTTCGTCGTTCCCTTACCACCCATATCAGCAGTAATAACACTCTGGTCCCTCTGCGCGAGCACCGTCTCAATAGCCTTCAGTACTGCCGTAGCAGCATCCTGGTATCCGAAATGCTGAAGCAGCATCTGCCCCGCCCAGATCATGCCCACGGGGTTCGCGATGCCCTTGCCAGCGATATCGGGCGCACTGCCGTGTACCGGCTCGAACAGGCTCGGGAATCGCCGGTCCGGGTTGATATTGGCCGACGGCGCAATCCCGATTGTACCCGTACAGGCTGGCCCGAGGTCCGATAGGATGTCGCCGAATAAGTTGCTGCCGACGACGACATCGAAGATTTGGGGCCGCTGGACGAAATGTGCGGTTAGGATGTCGATGTGATATTTGTCTACGTTGACGTCGGGGTATTTGCTTGACATCTCGCGGACGCGGGAGTCCCAATATGGCATGGTGATGCTGATGCCGTTGCTCTTGGTCGCGCTTGTAAGACGCTTCCGCGGCCGGCTTTGCGCAAGATCAAAGGCGTAACGAAGGACTCTGTCGATACCAGTGCGTGTCATCACCGTTTCCTGGATCACTGTCTCCCTATCTGTCCCCTCGAAAATCTTACCTCCGATGCTACTATACTCGCCTTCCGTGTTTTCCCGCACTATCCAGAAGTCGATGTCTCCAGGCTTTCGACCGGCCACTATTTATAGGGTTGGTAGGTCAGATGGGGATGATGATGAAAGCTCATAAAGATAACTCATAAAAGTATAATACGTACGAGGACAATCGACACCAGCCAATAGCCGGCACGGACGAAGGTTAATATACTGATCGAATTCCCGTCTAAACTTCAACAAGCTCCCCCATAACGATACCTCATCCGGCACCAAATCCGGCATGCCGACGGCGCCAAAGTAGATAGCATCAAACCCGCTAAGAGACTCCTTCCAGTCTGGCGGCAACATATCCCCATGTTTCTTATAAAAGTCGCAGCTAGCAAAATCAAACGTCTGGAAGCTCAACGAGATACCGAACACCTTCGCAGCCGCCTCGAGACATCGGACGCCATATGGCATCACTTCGGTCCCGATTCCATCGCCTGGGATAACGGCAATCTTTAGCGGGCTATTGGCCATCTTTGTTCGTGGGAATGGTGAAGAAGGTGAGGGGTCGGTTCAAAGGCGGCGCGGTTTGCGAATGTCGCTTATAGGTGGAGTAAGAATAATATAGCAACCAGTGAAGAGGAACAGGAAGAAAAACTCGTCCCTCTTGAGTTTACTTATACTTGTTTACCTCTCACATCAATGCTAAAACCCCGAGCCTTCGGTTAAGAAAAATAAAATAATAAAATAATAATAAAAACGTCACTTATTACCGATAGTTACCTTAAAACCCTACACCGTATTACTATCGCTACGTAACCTCGTTGCGAGCCTCGGCTTAAGTGTTTTTTACTGTCTCATTTTCGTTAACTCTTCTATCTAAGAGAACTAGCTAACCTAGCTATTAACACATTTAAAATCTATCGGGATATGTGGTCTTGCAAGGACTTTGTGTTATTTTTATTTCCTTCCCTCTTCTCATCTATACTTAAACATGAGTCCAGTTAATCTCCTTTTAACTATGCCTCGATATTCTCAAACAGAAATGACGGCTGACCAGGGACAGCCTGCTCCGCAATCGGGGACTTGATGTCAACCTCCCCACCGTGTACTAGGTCGGTTCCTGTCTTGCTGCCCTCGGTTACTAATAAGACATCTACATCCGATAGCCCTGCCGCTCTCTTTAGACCGGGCACCATGGCCGTGACAGTCTTGGACTCGTCGAAGTCCAATTTACGTTCCATCACAACGTCGATCGGCTCTCCGTTACGGAGCCTCTTCTTGAGGAGCTGCACAAATGGCATCGCCTCCTTCACCTTGCCTATCTTAGCAATCCGGCCGCTTAGCTCCTTGTCGGTGCACTTCTGCGTCTTGGTCGCTTCATCCCACGTCTCCCTAATCAGAGCGATACACTCGTTCTGCCACTTGGGGAATTCTCGAGTTATAAAAATCGTTAGCTTCTTGGGTTTCTTAGGGTCGAAGTTCATTTGCTTTCCCTTGGCCATCTTCTTGATCTGCGCCGACTCCGCCGACGTGATATTAGACTGTGTCGTGAGAACGTAGGCGCGGGCCGCGCTAAGGCCGGCATTGGCCTCTGGCACTTCGGGCCACCGGGCTACCTGTATTGTCTGCGCCTCGTGAAGTATCTCGAGCCAGATGTACTCAGCCCAGTGCGGTGCAATCGGAGCAAGGGACAGTGCTTGGAGTCTCATGTACTTGAACACCAACTCCTTGTTCAACGCGATTCCAGCCGCTACACAAGCTCCTCTGTACACATCCTTTGCATTTATCAGGTCATAGAAACACGACTTCAGGGCCATCTTGTAATTCGTATCCTCGTAATGGTTCTTTGCCTCCTGCAGTAGCGTGTTCATTTCGTTATCGAAGAGGGCGTCTTCGAAGTCATTCAGCTCCGTTCGCAGATCCTGGCTCTTAGCCATCTCTTCGCACCATTCCCTCAGAGTGTGCAGTCGAAGGCTAGTGATAGTAGCCTATTAGTTCATCTATCATGTAATGACTGTGGCTGATATTCGCGTGACTTACATAGTGTTGTCGGCAACGTCCTCGACGAAATTGGAATCTTGAATGGTATCTCCAGCATCCGCAAGAGCTATACGAGACGCATCCGCGCCGAATTTCTTCACCACTGCAGCCTAGTTAGCAATGTTTACGAAGAATAAACACCTGGCACAAGCTTACCATCATCGAGAGTCATAAAATTGCCAGTACTCTTAGACATCTTTTCGCCGTTAAGCTGAAGATGTCCATTCACTCGAATAGACTTAGGCCAGTACTCCCTAGGGAATAGTGCGATGTGGTTGTATAGGAAAAATGTAAGGTGGTTGTTGATTAGGTCCTTGCCGCTCGCTCTCAAGTCAAGGGGGTAGAAGTATTCGAATTCGCGGCGCATCGACTCTAGGGTCTCCTTGGGAATCTTCGACTTAGCCAGGATATCATCGGTAAGACTAGTACGGCAAAATATATAATCCCAAACTTCGTCAATCATCTGTTCTGGTGCAATGTTGCCACTACCTTTTTCCCGACCGAAGAGGTCACTGTGGAGGAAATGGGCGACGGTATAGTAACTCATGTAAATGGTTGAGTCACTTAAACTTTCTACCAGGAATTCAGGGGCCCATGGAAGTTGTGAGCCAAGACCGTATGTCCTAGCGCATGCCCATTGCTTGAGCCAGTCAAGCACTCCCAAGAATGCATTGCGCGCGTCGCTCGAATAAGTGTTGAGACCATTTCCATCCTTGTTCTCGACATAGTTAGTGGCGATTGTGCGCCATGAATCCTCTCCGTAGTCGATATAATACTGCTCCATGAGTGCGACCGTACATTCATCGCCACTCCTGCTGACAACTTTGTTCTCAGGCTCTGCGTATTCGAAGGCAAGACCAGCTTCAATCAGTTGAGCTCGAACCTTGGGCTTGGCATCTGCTACCTTTTCTCCTTTGAAGTCTCCTACCAACATGTGGCCCTGATAGAAACCCTCCTTGTAGGCTAACTCTTTAGCCTCTTTGAGTTGCTTCACGTCCTTTGGAGACGCAATCTTCAACTTTTTGACTAGTTCCAGGGCGAGCAAGTCAGAAGTAGGCGTCCGGATAATAGGGATAATTTCTAGTTCCGCCCACTCCTTCTGGATCTTGTAATAGTCGGCCTTTTTAGCCAAGTCCGTTATCGTGGCATAATCGTCGGGCGAATCCGAGGGCACGCATGTCACTACTCCAGTACCTTTGGTCTCAAGTATCGACTCCATGGGAAGTACCCGAACTCCATCCTTGTGAAAGCTAAGAGGGGCGTTGACCAGTGACCCAATGAGATCCGAGCCATCAATCTCGGTCGTCTTCTTGATAACACCCTCTTGGGCGAATATCTCCTGGTAGGCCATGTTCTTAGCACCTCTTTCTGTCATCACATAGTATTCCCCGGGGGCGGCTTCGTAGATGCCGTAGGTAATCTTTGGCGAGACGAAACAAGCTACCTGTCCATACATAGTCTCCGCTCGTAGGGTTGCCGGAACTAGGTATACTTTGGCATCTTTGGGAAGCTTTCCTTGTAGGATTTCTTGAGCCTTGGGGGCAAACTCGAGTACCTGCATCTTGATTGCCACATATAATTGAGGGTTAACACCCTCTCCTTCGCTGCGGTCGTGGTCCATGCAGGGCTGTCCATCTTTAATTGAGTAGATAGTATGCCGTTTTCCAAACTTGATTTTATCCAACTCCCTTAGTCGGATCATCTGCCAGCGGACAAACGCGTCGAAGTATGGATTGGCGTCCGTCGTGACAAATTGTCTGCGCCAATCAATCCTACTGCCAAAGTTGCTCAGATCGAGCTTGCAGAGAGGAGGGAAGTACTCGAGCCAGTAAGCCGGGTCGGCGAAGAGGTGTATTTGTTGGACGGGAATGCCCATAGCTTGCATGATCTGGAATTGGTACTTCATTTTAACCGCCTTCGCGGCAGCCTTGCCTTTCTTTGCGGTGAATTTAGTCACATCCTCCCTCTCTCTCTTGGCGGGCGCAGCTGTTGCCTCTATTAAGGACTCATCTTCCTCCTTGTACCTCTCGAACTCCTGACCGAACATCCCGACTTCTTTAGCAAGCTTGTCGGCGCACGCCTTAATCGGCAAGCCAGTGCAATGATATCCTTGCGGCCATAGGACATTGATTCCCTTCATACGAGCGTAGCCGACGTGGAATTCGACCTTACTGAACGAAAAGGCATGGCCCACGTGGAGACGTCCATTTGTATAGGGAAAGGCAATTGTTCCGAAGAACTTTGGGAACTTCTCTCGTAACTCGGCGGCAGAGATAGAATGGAGAGGGATATCAGCCGTCGACGGCGCGTCAGCATTGAAAAGTTTTTGGCTTTCCCATTCTTGCTGGTATTTTTTCTCGATCGCGATTAGGGAGTCTCGCTTTTCAGTCCCTCCAGAATACTGTCAGATTCAACACGAGAAAAAGTAAGAGGTTGTGCATTTTACCTTTGAGGTCTTTGAGGGTTGCATTCTGGAGCCCTTCCGTTATCTTGAGGGGATCTGCCATGGTGATATTACCTTATCCCAGTGCCCTTCAAATATTTGGTGATAAGGTTGCGATGAAGGAGAAAAAAAAAACAACTGTCAATCCGAGTATTGGAAAGTTTCGAGTCATAACTTAACTGATACGTGGGACGGAGGGGCAGAGGGGTAAGCACCTTTAAAGTAATGTTGCAAGGAACACAGAAGATTATGCGTTAAACGGAATAAGGTGTACATGTCGGGTTTACGAAATCACCGGATACTTATGGGATATATATGTACAACTCGGGTCTAAGAAGTCTCCGAACACCTATTTATATTTAGTAATAAAACATTAAAACATTAATAATTTTACAATATTATATCCGTTTATTATAAAATTATATTTAAAATAATCCTTAAATTTTAAAGATTTTAATAATTTAATATTTAATAATATTATGTAAATATTATTAAATTAATTTAACTTTTTAAGTTTTTTAATTTTTATTAATAAAGTTAAAAATTAAAATTATAACGTAATTATTATATATAATAATAAAATTAAATATTTAATAATTATTTTAAATTACGAAAAATATTATATAAAAGTTTTAAAAATAAATATAAAATATTAATATTTTTAAATAATTTTTAAAATATATAATAAAATTAATTAAATAAAAATAAATATTATAAATATTACGTTTAAAATTTTGGAAAAATGATATTTATATATAAAATAATTTAATATTTAACATATTAAAGTTTTAAAATCATAACTTAAAAAATGGCGATGTTATTATTAAATTTATGATTTTAATATACATTTATATATATATTTTAATAAATATTTAAAAATAGTTCACGTGATTCGTTTTTTATATAATTAAATCTATTTTTAATTTCGAACTTATATTTAATAAAAATTAAAGTTAAAATTAAAAATATTAAGAATTAATAAAGTTATTAATAATTAAAATATAAAAAAAAAAGGTTAAAATTTTAAAAATTAAACTTTTTAAAACACTTGTTATTATTTTTAAAATATTTTTAATTTATATATAAAATTATTAATTAACTTATATTTTAAATTTTATTTAAATGACTTTAAAATTAATAAAATTATAAATTTTTTTTTAAATATTTAACTTTAATTTTATATTTATTTAAAAACTTTTTAAACTTGATTTATATTATGTTATTTTAAGTGACTTTAAATTAAAATTAAAAAATCGTTCGAAAAGATATACTTTTTTTAACCATATTATTCTTTAATTAATTATAATTTCGTCGCATTTTTTTAAAACATTTTTTAATTTAAAACAATTATAAATATTACCGCTTTTAATTAATAATAATAATATAATAATATATTAATTAAATTAATTATTTAAATAAATTATTAATTAAAATATATACGTTTTAAAATTAAAATTAATTATAAAAATAACATTAATCGTATAATATATTTATTATTACCCGTGTAATAAAATAAAATACGTACTCGGTGTTTTTTTACCTTTTTATATTTTTTTAATAATTTTATAAATATTTATTTTAATTTTTTCGAAATTATATAATTAATTATATAATTAATTATATAAGAAAATTAATAAAAATATAAATTAAAATGCACGTGATTTAACCCCGAATTAATTAAAATATTTTAAAAGTAAACATTTATATATATAAAATAAATTTTTTATTAATATTTATTAATTTCTTTTAATTTATTATATATAAATACTTATATCTTTATAAAATAAATAAATAAAAATTTAAAATTTATTTTATAATTTTAAATATTTAATTATTTAAATATTAAAGCTTTTTTAAAATTTATTTAAATTATATTAATAAAATTATTAAAAATTAAAAATGTTAAAATTATAAAAAATAAAAACTATTAAAAAAAGTTTATAATAAATATTATAATTAAAACGTTTATTTTTAATCGTATTTAATTTAATATTAATTAAAATTACGTATAATTAAAATAGTAATTTTTATTATTTTTTAATTATATTTTAATATAAATTATAAAAGATTTAAATTAAAATTTATGAAATTATTAAAAATTAAATATAAAAAATAATTTTAAATTATTTAAAATTATATTTTATATATTATATAAATAATAATAAATATATTATATAATTAATATTATTTAATTATAATATTAATTATAATATTAATTATAACGTAATAATTATAATTTAAAATAAAATTTAATTTTTATATAAATAATATAAATTCGGTAATAAAAAAAGCTTTATTTAAATAATAATTATAACTTAAATAATAATTATAACTTAAATAAAATAAACCATAAATATGTTTTTTATTATATAATCTTTTTAATATTTTTTTATATTTTATATTTATTTTACTTAAATATATATTATAATTTTTATAACGTTTTTTAATTTAAATATAAGCTTTTTTATTAATTTAATTTTACACCGTTCGTTTAATAATATACTTTTATTTTACATTTTATTTTACGGTTTTATAACTTTATTTAATTTAATTTTAATTAATTATATATATTAAGTTAAAATTATACGATTATATTTAAATATTATAATGTAAAAAAGTTAAAAATAAAATTTAAATATATATATATATATATGTAAAGTTATTTAATTGATTAATTAATAAAGATTAAATTAAATAATAAAATTAAATACATTTTAAAAAATTACTTAAAATTACGTAAAATTTTTATAAAAAATATATATATAATTTAATAAATTTATATAAAAATATATATAATATTTATATAACTTTTACGTGATAATCGGTTATAATAAAAAAATGTAATTATTATTTAAATAAAACCTTTTTTATTATTAAATTAATATTATTTTTTTATATTATATTAAATAAAAAATTATTATAAAAAATTAATAAAATAATTAATAAAATAAATAATATTAATTATATAATATATTTATTATTACTTATGTAATAAAACGAGGTATATATCGGGTAATTTAAAACCGTTTTTTATAATTAACTTTTAATAATTTTATTAATTTTAATTTAATTTATATATGATTTATATTATAATTTAAATAAAAAAATAATAAAAATTATAATTTAAAATACACGTAATTTAAATTAATATTAATTTAAATATAGTTAAAAATATAAATTTTAATTATAATAACTATTATAAAACTTTTTTTAATGGTTTTTATTTTTTATAATTTTAATATTTTTTAACCTTAATAATTCTATTAATATAACCCGAATAAATTTCGAAAAAATCTTAATATTTAAATAATTTAATAATTTAAATTATAAATTAAATCTTAAACTTTTACCAATTTATTTAATAAAAATATAATTATTTTTATATAATAAATAAAAATAAATTAATAAATATTAATAAAAAAGTTATTTTATATATATAAATCTTTACTTTTTTAATATTTTAATTAATTTAAAGTAAAATCACGTACACTTTAAACCGTATTTTTATTACCTTTTTTATATAATTAATTATATTTTTTTAAAAAAAATTAAATTAATATTTATAAAGTTATAAAAAAAGTTATTTTTAAAAGAAAATAAATAAAATACGTACTTAATTTTATTACACGGGTAATAATAAGTATATTACACGATTAATATTACTTTTATTTTAAATATAATATTAAATATTAACATTTATAATATTATAATATAATATTTTATAAATATATAAAAATATATAAAAAAAATAATAAAAATAAAAAATTAATTTTAAATAATTAAAATAAATAGTATTTTTAATATTATTATTATTAATTAAATCATTATTAATATAATTATATAAAAATTTAAATATATATTAATAATATTTTATAAAATTTATATATGTTTAAAATTAAAATTTAAAACCCGTTTTATTTTTTATTTATAAATATAAATATATAAATTAAAACTTTTAAAATATTTATAATAAAATTTATTTTTTAAATTTTAATTTTAATATTAAAATAAATATTATATATTTTTATTTTAAATTTATAAAAAATTATTAAATTATTATTTTTTTAATTAAATTAAATAAAAGTTTAAAATTATTAAAAATAAAAATATTTTAATTATTTTTACTTTTATTAATTAAATATATTTTAAAATAAAATAAATTTTAATTATAATTTTAATAATAATTATTTATATAATTTTAATAATTAAATTAATTATAATTATAATTATATAATTTATTATAATTTATAAGTTTTATTATTTATATTATTATATTTTATTATTAAAGGTTTATTTATATTATTATTAAAGGTTTATTTATATTATTATATATTAAAATA